TCTTAACCTGTTTTCATATCCTCACTAGTATAATACTGTTTTTGAGAACCTACCAGTAGAGATTCAACATAAGAAATTCTCTCCTTTCCTTAGTTTTTCTGGTCTACAAAGAACTACATTTAATAAATGAGGAAAAGCCCTTTCATTAACTCTTATAACTACCCCAGAGCTCCATTCTAGAATTTTAGGACAGAAATGTTCAGAGGTGAAATGGAGAAGCAAAAGTTATTATCCAACTTGAGTTCTCAATCTGGTCCACAACTCTAACTATTGCAGATTACTGTTATGAAACTGGGGTCCAGCACAATTCCACACAGAGCACTGTTCCAAAGGCAGAGTACATATTGCTGGCAAAACTTCTAAGTGTTCTAATGAGTAGAGATTGTGAAATAACTAACTCCTAACTGATTATAATGCATGTATAAGGTCAGAAGTAAAGGGCATGCTTAACCTGGTAATCACTTACAGAAAATGTAGTCATTTCTCTGGAAACAAGTCTGATTAGTCATAATGTGCCATACTGGGCAGTGCTCAAGAGAACACGCACCATTGCACTAATTTGGCTCTGGCACACATTCACATTCTCTTTATGATTCCACCACCATCCTCCACCCAACACCACCTCCTTTTCCCCAAAAAGTAATTAAATAACGATGATTGATGGCACCATCTAAAAGTAGCATTATAGAAGGTGTTCCCTGGGTTTTGGAGCCATTTCTAGATTAGGATTCTGGTACTATTGCAGAGCTGAGAACACGCATTTCATCAATGTTCTGCTTTGATATGCTCCTGAAACTTGAAGGTAGGCTGTAGTAAACTTAGAAACAGGAAATACAAAGCAGCCTTTCCCCCTTCTGATCACATTCCTGCCTGTTATCTAGTACCCACCTATAGTCTGGCCAGATGTCTAGCTGTAGTAAGCCTTGTTTCCTAGGACTTACAATCATAACTAACAACTTCTCTTGGAAGGGCTTTTGCAGTCTTAGTGAAGCTGAAGTTAGACAACGGTTGTCTCCTGGAAACTTTCGTCTAACAGAGTCGTTTTCCTCTCCATACACTTAGGTTTGTATTTACTACCCAGATTCTATATTAATCACTTTTCACATTCATTTATATGGACAGTTATCATAAAAATATTTAGGGGAAGAGGATTCTGTGTCATACTAAGTCCATCAAGATGTTAACATTGATAGTTCTTGTAGAACTTAGGCACTTACAGAATCTCAAGATAATATTAAGTTTTCAAGGACCAAAGACTAATAAGAAATATTATAGTGGTACATTTAGTACCATCAAAGCCTCTACCTTTTGAGACACAATTTAGATAAGAAATTAAGTCTTAAATTTTAAGGATGAATACCATACCTAAGATATTTCATTGATCTCACAAGGCTCCCTAGGAAAGATTGTCCATTTAAAGGTAACTGAGGAGAGTTTAATCAAGACACTAATTAAAATGGGCTAAGCAGGGTTTAGGGAAGCCAAGTCAAGATGGTGAAGTACCTCAGTAGTGTCCAGATCTTTCTGCAGTGAGGGAAATATTCTGTATTATCCAGTACCATAGCCATTAGCCACATGTGGCTATTGAGCACCTATAATGTGGTTAATGCAACTAGGCCACTGAATTCTTGATTTTATTTAATCTAATCTCTATTAATTTAAGTTTAAATAGCCACATAGCTGATTGCTACTATACTGAACAGTGTAGCTCAGGCCTAGCAAAGAGTCATGACAACTCCTAGGCCTCAAGAGGTAAGAAAGAACAATTACTGGAACCTGGAGGGATGCAGAATTAGAGCTGTATCTTACAGAAGAGGATTACATGACAGGAACAATGGCCTTTGTCAAAAAAAAAAAAAAAATACAGACTCTGCCAACTTGCAGACTAGTAGAGGAAATACTGGGAATACCAACTCACTCTTCTTGCCCTACATCTCCCTCTTGTGCCTCTGGTTCAACTCACCAGAAACTGGAGGACAAAAAAAACTCATTGATGTATTCCATGAGTCAGATTCCCCCTGCATAGACCACAGCAAAGGGTGGAGAAGAGATCTGATCATACCATGTACACAATGAATTGAAGCACCAATTGGTTTATAAGCATTCATGAATCTAAATAAATATGGAACCAGTGGCAAAAATGGAACAAAGGCATGTTTTCCAATAAAATCCTACAATTATTATTATTAAAGCTATCCCAGAGTTCTCTGATGCACTAAATGGTACAATGCTTTAATCAAACTGCAACTGGGTTCATTTTAGGTTTCATTCATGAAGAATGAGGCCAATAGTATGACCTTTGAACTGTATTTAACCTCAGATTCTTACCAAGAATCTGTTAAACTTTTTCTAAGGTACCATCTCAAATCATGAAGCCTCAGAGTGGGAAATTTCTCATTTGACTTAGGTTAAAGGTCATTGTAACTCAATAATTGGACAAACATAGATTAGAAAATGGAAGACACAGGGATCCAAAGGTTGTCCAACTCCTACTCTAGGACTGTATGACCACTCCCTTAAGACAGGCCTACTTATGTTTTATTTTTGTATTATCTCTCTGGACATGGTATGTTTTTAAACAATCTTTCACTTTCTTCCCTGAATAGTAGTGCTAATTTTAAACAATAAATAAGGAGGGGCATAGAGGGTATGGTCAGATCTACAGCCAAAGTCAAATCCTATTTGTGGAAACCTTTATTGTCTACTTTAATGGGTCCTGAATATATCAAAAAAGTCCAGTCCTTATTGTCCAGCACTCAAGGAAGAAAGGTCTAATGTTACTGCATGGGGGTTGAAGTAGGTGCCAAAGGAAAAGCAGTTCCCACCACCTCCAAGGAGCAGGAGCTGTTGTTCTTCAGGAAGGAGGATGCTGGTATGGTTATGTAACATTAATGGCCATGGCACACGTGTTGTGTCAATCTCATACTCAGAGCTCAATCCTGTAGTCAAATTGATAATAGTCACCCCGGGAACTGAGGAGGAATGAATCCAGACCCCTCCAACCAGTAGAAGATTCCCATTAAGCACATGAGCTGTGTGGGAGTACCTTGGGGTAATGGGAGGTTGGATGTCTATAGATTCCCAGAGGAATCCACAAGTGCTTGGTTTCAGGAAGAGTACAGAGTTCAATGGTTCCTCAGAAACATCTAGACCTCCAGCAATAAGGGCTCCCCCTTGCCAGCTGCAGGCACTGTGGGAATGCCGACCTTCAGGAATCTCCCCTTCCACTGGGATCCTGACCCAAGTCAATGTCCCTACATGTAAAAAATGCCAGTCATTTAGTACAGGTTCCACCACACTTCGACCCCCATACACAAACAAATATTTCTGATTCTTATAGGACACTTCTGTTGTTGAATGCCGCCAACATGACAAAGTAGAATCTTCTGGGCCAGCCTTTGTTACTGTTACATTTAGATCCTCAGTGCTATTATCCTCACTTTTAAAAAAATGAAGTTGAAGGATTCCCAAGGCTGGAGTTACTGGGGACAGTCTCCCTCCCAGAACCAGAACCTGAGTATCTGAAAGTCTTGCCATGGTGTGATAAAGGCGCCCATCCCACTGAGTTCCAGTCCCCCAACTGCCTATTTGTTTGCCTTTCCATTCAAAATCACTATATTTTAAGAGCAAGTGAAGCTTGCTCATTCGGCAATGCCGCCCCTCCTGCTCTCCAAATCCACCTGCACTGAGAATAATACCTGGTCTCAAAAGGACAGAGGCATGGCCGTATCTTTTAAAGTCTGGGCCCTGGCTGTCACTAACGACTACATTGGCAGGGAGGGTCCCTAAAGGGGAAGCAGGATCTATCCGAGGAAACACCTTTGAGGAAAGACACACCAAAGTTTGGGAGAGAGTGTCTCCCTTAGAAGCAGCCAGAATGAAATAGTGGGCACACTTCAGATGCCACTCCTCAAACTCGTCAAAGGGTTCAAGATTTTCCATGCGCCTGCGTTCTTTTGCGGGTACAAAACAACGATAGAATTCATTCATGTCCATGGCACTACAGGCAGTCCAGCCAGCCTGAAGGAAGCGGTGCTGCTGGGACTCCACATCGGGAAAGCGGTCCAGGCCATGCAGAGGAGAATTTAGCTGCTGAAAATGTTGCTGCATGAATTGGCCAAAGGTATCATGAGGCCTCGTCTGCTCGTAGATCACGAAAAGGGCATTAGGAAAAAGCTGGGCCGCCCAGGAGATGAGGGCCGCGGCATTATCGGGCTCCAGGTAGGTCAGCACGGCCTCAGCCAGGAGCAAAGTGGGTGCGGCCGCATCAAGGCCCGCGCTGGCCAGGGCCTGGTCCAATCGCTCGACCTCCTTCAGGTCCAAGCCCAGGATGTGGTAGTCAAAGCTCTCAAAGAAAAGCTCTGACGAGGGATCCCCGCTCTGGATCGGCCCGGTTACTGCGCACAATTCCGGCGTGTCTCGAATCCTCTCCGCTTTGCGCCGCGCCACGTCGGGAAAATCTACCTCCCAGACAGCAGCCCAGGACAGGAGGCCTTTAGTTTTGAGGCGAAAATAAAGAGAGTCTGAGCCGGCGCCCAAAGACAGGATCTGGGCGCGAGGCCCACCAGAGGACGCGCGCGTCCGCTCCAGGAAGGCGCGCACGCAGTGCCTTACAGCGCGTGCGCGGACGTAGTAGCCACGATGGATGAGCGGCGCGCGGCGCGCGGTCCGCGGAATTAGCAACGCAGCAAAGGCGTCGTGCACGTACCCGCGCGCGGCCAGGGAACTCTTGCTGAGGGCGCTGCTGTCGTTGGTGTGCTGCACTGATAGGGCTCGACGCTCGCGGCTCCGCGGATCCATGGCCAGAAGATACCCAAGAGCCGCGGTTCGTCACAGTGGTGAGCTGCTCTTCAGCCCTAGTTACTCCGCAGACTTCTATACGGAAAAATCACCCCTCCGCCTTGTCTCCTCTTCCGCGGACTAGTGTGCGTCACTTCCGGGAAGAGCGCGCCTTCCTAGTCAGAATTGAAGAGGGTGTAGCTTATGGTAAAATTTTACTGTGGTTGACTATTTGGTTCTCTGGGACAGCGTTTTTGCGGGAAGACCACCGTTGCGGCTTATCATGGACACGTTAACTGTGTCAGGGAAGCACGGGTTATCCCTTTTCTAGAAGCTTTTCCATATGAAGGGAAATTTTTATGTAAGTTCTCATAGTTGACTCAACTGTTGACAAAAATCTCAATGAAGAGAGTCTGTGGGAAAAGCCAGAACTTGGACGGGAAAATCCATTCCACTGACGTTGGTGAGCAAGTAGAACAGTGGTTCCTCTGATACTACTAGTGCTAATTTATTTAATGCTTTAATTCAAAGGTGTCCAACTTTCTGGCATCTCTGGGCCACACTGGAAGAAAAAGAGTTGTCTTGGGCCACATACTACATACACAAACACTATTGAAAACTGATGAGCAGAAAAGAGGATTTAAGTAACTTTACAATTTCGTGTTGGGCCCCATTCATATGACATCCTGGGCTGCGAGTTGGACACCCCTGAAGTTGTTACAAAGAGATCCCATTTTAGTCTGGAAAGGGGTCAGTGAGGCTAGGTGCAAAATGAACAAACCTTTGCAGAGGTTATGATTCACCCAATAAGTTTTTTCCCACAGATATGTACTATTCCCTGTATTCCCAGCTCTGTGCTAGGCTGACAGTAAGTAAACAACTCAGCCCCAGTTCATCTGCTATAAAATGACATTTCCCCTCCACTTTCAAAACTCTGTGATTTTAGGGTAGTGAGGGAATCACGGAAGAGAGGTGATTTTTCCCTCTTGATATGGTCGGAGCCTTGTTGGGGGTTTAAAATAACCATCACATTTCTGAATTGGGTGTTTGGATGTCATCACCAGTAGAAAACTGCTTCCAGAGATAGTAAGGAAATTTATAATACACTCATTAGGATTTGGTGACTAGGGGTTGGGATGGAGAAGGGAATCTGGGTAACTATAGGTGTGGTTACCTTGAAGCAATATAGCATAATGGTTAGAAGTATGAGTTTTAAGTCCAGCCAGTTTGAATTTGAATACTGTAACTCAAAAGTTTGAGTCAGGATAAAGTTTTGTTAGTTGAAAAAGTTTCATTTAGATTTAGTGTTTAAGACCTACTAATAGCCTTAGGGAGAGCAATTTCTATGGAGTAATAAGGGCAGAAGCCATATTATAGTGAATGGGAGATAAGTAAATGGAGGCAGCTGATCTAAATTACACTTTCAAGGACCTTAACTCTTAAGAAAAGGAGAGAAAGGGCAAATAGTTAAAGGAGGAATGTGGAGTTAAAGAAAGTTTGGGGTTTTTTTTTTTTTTTTTTTTAGGTGGAAGCAAATACTATGCTTGCATGTTAGTCCCCTGAGTGAAATAAGCTAGTGGAGAGAGAGGTTGGAGGAACAGAAGAGTGAGATTTACTAGTGAAATAATGAATTAGGATATATGGGGAGGAATTGGATTCTGGGCACAAATTAGTTGGAGAGACAAGAGAATGAATCTTTTTTCTCTGACTCCTGAGGGAAGGAGGGGTGTAGATAAAGGTAAGTGTAGGTGTGGGGGAGGGGGGAAGAAATAAAGGGAATTCATGTCTAATGACTCCTGTTGTCTCTATAAAACTGGTGTCTGGGTTGTCACTTAAGTGTGAAGCAGTTGGGTCTAGGGGAATGCTTGAAAAGTTTGGAATTGCCTTTGAAGGGAATGGGAGAAGGATTCTCCCCTGAGCATGCTGGGCCCTGGGATCCTCATCTGTAAAATGAGAGGACTACGTGTGCTTTGTAAGTTGTCTCAGGTTGATTGAGGACCAAAGAGGGAACAAAAAGAGTTGTAGGATTTGAAAAAAATATATAGCACTATAGAAATTATATTTGAAGATAAGTTAGTAAAATGTATGTGATTTTTTAGAAATATTTTCTGGTAAAGAGCAGAAATAAAAGTGATTCAGGAAGAAAGAGAATAGGGCAAAATTTATGATTTGGTTATCTTACGATTGTTTTCTGTTAATTATTTTTTAAATCTGTTCTTAGGTAAAATGGGAGTTAATATTACTTTATGGGTTGTTGTGAAGATTAAGACAGACACTTAGCGTAGTGCGTGGTTCATAGAAGTGTTTAATAAATAGTAACAAAAATTTTTATTATTCTTAATCCCCTCCCTCTTTTGTCATGAAAAAGTACTCTTGAGACAGGAGACTTGGCTCTGGTCCTTCTTTAACTTGATAAACTATTAGTACAAATGTAAAAAGATCTTATCTCAATGTGTTGTCTATCAGATCCTCACTCTCACTACAGCTGCTTCTAGCCCATGCGAAATCCATCCTAGGAAAGGTGAATTTGCCAGGGAGTGATATTATTGATAGTAGTATCTTAGGCAAGGATCAGTGAAACAACAGCTTTTTTCAGATTTGCAAAAATTGTGCTTGTTTTTGTGGCTTTCAAATTTCCATAAGTTAACATTGTAGCCAGTGCTTGAGAATAGTTTGAATATAGCGCAAGGTAGGGTCAGGATCCTAGAGTAGGATATTACTAGCCCACTATATAGGCATGGTATATATGCTCTTAAATGTTCTCTTTTTTTAAAATTGATTTTTGAGAGAGAAATTAAGGGGGAGGGAGAGAGAAACATCAATTTGTTGTTCCACTTATTTGTGCATTCATTGGTTGATTCTTGTATGTGTCCTGACTGGAGATCAAAAACCCACAACCTTATTGATATCGGAGCAATGCTCTAACCAACTGAGCTACCTGACCAGGGCTGTAAGTGGCTTTTTAAGGCTATCTTTCTATTGTCTAACTATAAAAGTTCTTTTCTCTTGCAAATCATAATAATTAAGCTGTTTTACAAGATTTTAAAAAATTAATTGTTTTAGAAACAATTATTTTAAATGATTAATTTGTTAAATATTTAAAAATAATTTATTAAAATTATTAATAAGTAAATTATCTAAATTAATTATTTAAAAATTTATTAAAAGTATTTCAGAAGTAATCAAGTATTACATGCTTGTTGTAAAACCTTAAAATTGCACAAAACTGTATGATATAAATAAAGTAAAATTCTCTTTCCAACCTTTGCCATTTCCAACCCACATTCTAGTGGTAACAGTTTTCTATGTGCCCTTTTATATCTGTTTAGGAATAAAGATATAAATATATAAGACTGTGTATTTGTTTGGAGCCATACATACATGCTTTATTCATGTCATCTTTCTAAACCATATATTTTGAACTTACTTTTTGGAAGTAACATTTATATCCCAGAAACCTTTCCACATAGTCATTTGGGTGGATATATTAACTAACTTAGCCAGTACCCCACTAATGGACATTTAGGTTGTTTCCAGGTTTTGCTATTACAAATAATATTACAAGATATGTACTTGTTCATGTCCTATAAACGATAAATTCCTAACAGAATTACCGGATCAGTAAATATGTGGGTTTGTGTGTATTGATAAATATAGCCAAATTGCTTTCCAAAAAGACCATACCAGGTTCTGCTCACACTAGAATTTTTACTCAGATCTTCACCAGTATTAAGTATTATTTTGAGATTCAGAATTTTTTCTGGATAATTTTACACGTTAAGTCTTTCATGAACTTCAAAAATCAGTTTCTAAGGAATAATTTTGAGAGTTTTGATTAACATTTACTTTGTAATTCAATTTATGGCACACTGACTTACCTATGTAAGATAAAGTATGTTTTTTTTCATTTTAATGACATCTTTTATGTACTTCAGTGGAGATATTAAACATATCAATTAAACAGTCCATATTTTTCATTCATTACTATTTACTAAGCACTTTCCTGGTATTCTGTTGAAATGTTACTTTTAACTCATACCGAGTTGGCCTTTCTGTGGTTTTCTATGGCTCTGTCTACTTCTGTACAAACTATTTTCTTTATTTCCTATTTTAATATTTTGGTAACTTATTTAACCCCTCTCAGTGTCAATCTATTGATTTGTAATGTGGTAAAAAATACTTATTTTGCAAGGTTATCAGTTAGATTAAAGATTATATTATTAAAGATGTTTGTCACGTATCACATATGTGAAACTGCTGATGGAACTGAATGGAAACTGCTATTATTATCAACATCATCATCATCAATATATGAGAACCCAGAGAGTAAAGATGACTACTTTGAACATCACTAAATTTCACTTGAAATTTATGTTAATGTATAAGCCATCTTCAGAAATAAAGGAAAAATTAGGACTGAGTTATCACCTGTAATATGCTAGGCGCTGTGCTGTGTTAGGTACTAAACATGGTCCTTGTCCTTAGGAAGCTCACAGTCTGGTGAGGGAGAAAGACAAGTAAATCAGTAATTGAGAGACAATATGATAAAGCATTGAGTGAAAGATAGTCACTGGATTATATAGGAGTATACAAGAGGGGAATTTAAATTACAGTATCAATCATCACTGTTATGCTGCATTTTTATCAGTTTTTTACAAATAAGGAAACTGAAACTGTGAGGTTAAGTGACAAAGGCCACATGGCTACTAACTGCCAGAACAGTAAAAGGGCTACTCTAGGTCCACTGAAACCAGTGCTGCTGTTCTTCCTTTATGTATTTTAAACAATTAAAAAATGTAAACTTTGTTATAGGTATTATAAATTTCTAGTTTTAGAAGTAGTTTTCTAGAAAATGCTAATTGGTGAGGAATACACCCAACAACATTTCGGATTGTAATCCACCTCTTACATTTTCTTATTTTTAGTTCAGATTATTAGCTCATTTAAATTAGCTTTAGAGGAGCTTTTGTCTTTTAAGGAATAAATTAGCAAAATCGTGTTTCATTGCTTTTGTGTCAACATCTGAAAATATTCACATTTGTTTGAATAGGTGAAGCTGAGCCCAGAGCGACATTTACAGCTAATCTTATAAAAATGTGCGGAAATAAAGCAATCTGAAGGAAACTTAAGACCAAAAAATTTACTGACTGAAATACATTGTATGGTTCATACCAATAATAAGAGTGTTTGGAGAAAGATCTTTTTATTCTGCTAAATCATGACAGAGGCAGAAGACCAGCAGCAGTGGAAGAGAACCTTTTATTCAGAATTACCTAAAGTGGTAAGAATTCAACCATAGAATTCTAGAGTGGTTGCTAATTATAATGTCTTCTGTTTTGTTTCTTTTCACAAAAGTAAATTTTATAGGTATAATTTGTAAATTTTTTTAAAAGTTACATAGCTAAATGTGGTAGCCTACTATGGACTGTAAACATCAAGAAACTGGTATAATGCTGTGAATCTAGTAGATACTTGATATGTTTCACTGATTGTATTCTTTTGTTTTAGGAACTTCATGCCCACTTGAATGGATCCATCAGTTCTAATACCATGAAGAAATTAATAGCTAAAAAACCAGGTCTTAAAATCCATGATCAGATGACTATGATTGATAAGGGAAAGAAAAGAACTTTAGAAGAGTGAGTTTGGGGAGATTGTGGACACACTTTTTTTTTTCTCTATCACTATAAATAGTATGTAAGAATTCAGATTTTAGTAGTTAAAGGAGTAGGGTATCCATCTAGTATGGAGAGTATAACTTGGCATATAGCATTTTTTCCAGCTGTCAGACTGTTGACAATATTTTGAATGATTTATGTTGTTTGTAAAGTAATACTATATTGGAATATTCTTTAGACTTGAAAGTATAGGATTATTGACTTTTCCTCTCTTTGCTCCTACCAGCAGGTGGAGGGGGTGGGCTGGCATGGTGAAGGGAAACTAGTATTTCCCAATTTAAAATATCAGTACTGTTTTATTTTTCAGTCATTTATCTTTCCATATCAATGCAGTTTAAAAAAAAACCATTCTGTAGTTTTTTATAAATATAATTACTATTAGCCTAAAATATTAATTTGATTGCTAAGTTCATCTTGAGTTTTTGATGACTAGAGTATTTTTAAAGCTTTCCATTAATGTTATAGATGTTTCCAGATGTTCCAGATTATTCATCAGCTTACTACTAGCCCTGAAGATATTTTAATGGTAAGAAGTGAGACAATTTTTAGACAAGTTTAAAAATTATTAGGTAATTTATGCTTTCCTCTTGTTGCATCAAGTCTGATGAAAAAATGTTTTCTGCTTTTTTTATAGTAACTCTTTCCAAAACTAATATAAGAGATTTGCCTAAGAGCTAATATCAAAAGACTGTGTTCATTGTAAAAGATATGAGGATAGAACTAGATGAATATCTTCTGTTAGATGGAGAACAACATGGAGGAGAAAATCTGGTCCTGTTTTCCATAATAGTTAACCACAGATAGAAATGACTTTGATAAGGTTTTTATTTCTATTGCTTGGAAGATTTTTCACTGCCTAGGTGGATGTTATAGAGAGAGAAGGAAGTTCACAAGTGCCTAAAAATTGAATTATTACACCCTAGGGGAATAGTTCCTTTCTCTGGGAATGAAGGACTAAAGGACACCACTGTGTTCTCTTATCTAGAGCTTCATGAGACTAGAGTCTCCATGATATGGAAAAGTGGCTTCTGTATCATTGATCTGAGTAGGATGGTATTTTAAAATGTCTTCTTTGCAAATGAAGAGAAACAAAATCCTGTCAGTGCTCTTAATCAGTAGAAAAAAATGCAAAGTAAGAAGTACAACTTGTTTTTCTGAAGAACTAACTTTTGACTGTTCAAGAAAGAATTTTCCTCCTTGGCCGAGATTGATCCTCATGATAAACAGTATATCATCTGTTGGAAGAGAGTTGAGTCTAAAAGTTTAGTTCAGCAAAAGACTGAGTGCCCATAGTGTTCCAGTGCAAGAGGCTGGGAGATATAAAGATAGATTGACATGGTCCCTGCCCCTGAGGAGTTTATAGTCAGGGCTGAATTTGACAGACACAGATGTGGACCCCAAGAAAGTATTCTTGGACACGGGGTAGGGATGATTCAACAGGCCTCACTGTGGCCTACATAAATCTTCCATTGCTCTCATTCTATACCTGCCAGCAACCTTCTGTTACTCATTGGGTTTCATAGGTATCTCACCACCAAAATGAAGGGTGCTCAGAATAGTAGATACGATCACTGAAGTCACTAAGAAGAACAGCCACTTTACACCCTCCTTGTCAGTGTATGCATTAACAAATAGGCTACATTAGTCTCCTATGAGTTGGGGTCTCTGGGTCTGGAGCAATGACAAGATGCAAGTTCCTCAACGTGTGGAAACAAGGTCCACAGTCTGATGGTGGCAAAAGCAGCAGCTTAGAGTTCCTAGAGAAGCATTACCATTGGCTCTAGTATGTGGAAGCTGCAGGCTCGTGCTTGGTGGTGGAGGAAACAGTGATATCACTCTTGGTTACAAGAGTATCATGTGATTTTTGGATGCTGTTATGTTGTAAGGTGTGTAGTCTCTGAGGCCAGTTCTCTAGACCTCCTGATGAATCTGGGTCACCAATCATATTTATATCATAGTAAATTCCTTTTTGGTTTTTATTTAACAAAAAAAAAAAAAAATGAGGTTCAGACCTTGGATTGGAGTGAATCCATTAAGATAGTGCCACCCCATTAGGCACTTTGTGCACAACCAGCCAACGCCTTGTTCCTTTGCCCAGACACTGCACTTGCCTGCCCATGTGCACACAGTCAAAGCAGGATTAGGATACCAACTATAAGGCCAGCTAGGGCATGTTGTCACAGTATCTCCAACCTGGTCTTTTTTCTTTTAGATTTGGTATTTTTTAGGATTGATGGCAGAGAAGGAAAACATACCTTCAGGCCTTATATATCATTTACTCTGGTCATTTAGTAATTTTTGGATTGTTGAGATTTGTGCTAAATTGCGTACAGTTTTACTTATATTTATTACCTATTTTCTTTGCCTAAGAGGAATTTTCGTAAATACTTCTGAGGAAAATTTAACCCTGCCTAAAGAATCTGTTAAAAAATACAACTTATTCCTAAATAACTTGAATAAGAACCTTAAGCCATGACTCTAAATTGTACATCAGTCATGCCCAATATTAGCTGTTCATTTCCACATGTGCCTTTCTAGCACTACACACTGATAGATGGTTTTAACTGATTTTAGTTTTGACTTATTTCTCTGTTTTATCAAATTGCTGCTATGAACACTACGAAATAGAAAAATTGTTAAAAGGAAGAAAAGTGTTAATGATGTGCATATTTAGATTTAATGTAGAAATAATGGGGAGTGATGAAAGATACTGGAAATTTTGCAGTTCTGTCATGATCCCCACCAGGAGTGTGACAAAACAGGTAATCTTAACTACAAGACTTGCAAGTCAAAGTTAATGAATGAAATAAAGCTGTTGCATTTGGCACTTTCATTGTTACCCTTACAACAGTATTATCAATATTATGTATATTGCTTTTATTGTCAGGTCACAAAAGATGTCATTAAAGAATTTGCAGATGATGGTGTCAAGTACCTGGAACTAAGGAGCACACCCAGAATAGAAAATACTACAGGTAGAAATTAATTTCTTCTCAGCCAAGGTATTCTTTTCTGTGTTCTTTGTCATTCATGTGTTTACATGTTGAGAATACAAAGCACTTACTTTTACTCTATTGTAAAAGTAGAATCAACATTCCACATCTTATGATGTATATTATTAATGAGTAAGTTATTCTCCCCTGACTGGTGTGGCTCAGTTTGGCATCGTCCCACAAAGGGAAAGGTTGCTGGTTTGACTCGTGGTCAGGGCACTTGCGTGGGTTGCGGGTTCAGTTCCCAGTTGGGGATTGTGCAAGAGGCAACCAATTATGTTTCTCTCTCACACAGATGTTCTCCCTCCATTTCCCTCCTTTCTCCTCTCTAAAAATAAATAAAATCTTTAAAAAGTATTTTTTTAAAAATGAGTAAGTTACTCTTTAAAACATTAGGTCAGGTATTATTTGTTTAAGGGAAATAAAAAAGCCCACAAATTTTTTGTTTTTCTCACTATGAGAAAAGGACATTTGCTACATTTGCTTATAGTTGCATTGTCTAAAACATAAGCTAATTCTTACTCCCTACATAAAGAGCACTTGTGAGACAATGCCATTGAGTAGACACAGAGTCATGTTTTATGACAGTCACTGAAATGAGGTTATTCAGTCACTACTCAGGAACAAATAGTGTCAGGCAAGGAGCAAGGTATGATATGGTGAAACTGCTCTGGATGGAGATGAGCAAATCTAGAGGTGGTCTGGAGAAATTTCCTGGGACCCTGTTCCATAATAGTGGTATCAAGAGATATTATGTAGTATCTTTGGGTTCCTATTAGCACTTTGTGACCTGAAGAGATCCTACCAAGCCATCTTGTGCCCTGACAGGTGTAGTCTGGTAAGCATTCAGGAGGTAAAATTTTTGCAACTATATATTATGTGCAGATTTGGATTTAATGTAGAAATGATGGTGGGTGATGGAAGATACTGGAAATTTTGCAGTTCTGTTGTGATGACAACTGGGACAAGCAAAAGATTCTTATCTCACATTTTTAAACTGCAGAATCAGTTCCAAGTTATGATGGTGAGGGTAGTGAAAGGGAAGAAGAAACCTGCAAATTATTAGAGCTAATCAGAGATTCAAAAGGGAGTTGTTAACCTAAGTATGTAACAATAGGGCAGTTGTTAAGCAGAGGCTAATGGAATATTAGGCAACCATTAAAAATAGTTGCAAAGACACTTTAATGATATGGGATGACATATAGGGTATGTATATATACACCTGTAGGCGCGCACACACAAAGACAGTGGTTAGCTTTGAGTGGTGGGATTATGTGTTATTTTTATTTTTCTTCTTCATAGTTTCCTGGACTTTACTAGAGATCTCCCACCAAGAATAAGCATTTTAGAATTGGAGTATGAGAGTATTTTAGAGGAGGTTGTTCTAGAGAGCACTATTTCAGAGCTCCCCAGAAGAGAAATTAAGCACTGAAACTTTAAGAACATCTCTAGTGCCCTGGATGGGAAACACTGAGTCTGAGCAGAATTGAGGAGAAAGGAACTCATGATGTTTTTCTGGACCAGCAGGAAAACATTTTACTAGTAAAGAAATATACTTTTTTTTTTTGTTTGTTTCTTTAAGGGCAGGCTTTAGAAAAGTGCTTGTTGTTGTTTTGTAGAACATTTAAAAATTTTCATAACAATTTGTGAGAGTAATTTTATGCCTGTTTAATCTAAGAATAATTTTTAAATGTGCTTGTATTTTGTATATATTTTTAAAATTTTATTTATGTAGTACTTCATTTTTTTCTAAATTTATTAAAGTTCAATTAGTATTTACTAAACTATATCAATAAGGGCCATGTTTTAATTCATTTTTAACCATGCTTTTGTCTCAACATAAAGTGAGTACGTAATTGTTCACATAGGGATGCTACTAATGTTGAATGACGAAATAGCTGATGATCTCTTTACATATGTTTTCTTTGTGTCCTCTCCAGGAATGACTAAAAAAACTTATGTGGAATCTGTACTTGAGGGTATAAAACAGTCTAAACAAGAAAACTTAGACATTGATGTTAGGTAAGAAACATTGTACCTTAGTGGTCATCATTTAAAAATCCAGAATGTGTGAAAATTTTACTACTTTTTGACTATGGGTATAATGGATAATTTTATAAACTAACCAATAACCTATTTTTATCTTATAATAGAAAAATCAGTGAAGAACCATGTTCTTTAATGTTGAGAATGTAGTTCTGAAATATTCATGTGGCGATTAAATTCTGAGTACGGATGCTGTAGTAAAGTAGGGCTTTCCATTGCTCTTCAGCTAAAATCTAGATTTCTCACTGCAGCCTCCAAGGTCCCACATGATTTGACTGCCTCTCTTACTTCTCCAGCCTCATCTGGACCACTTGTTACTTACTATACACTGGCATCTCTGTTCCCCATATAGTCCAAGACTATCCCACCTCAGCACCTTTTTATTTCCTGTAACTTGCCTAGAACACACTTTCACCATATCCTTGGATGGCTGGCATCTTCTCATTATTCAGGTCTCAATTCAACTGTCACTTCCTCAAGAGAGGCCTTCCATTACCACTTTATCTAAAGTGTCCTCCCCAGATCCTCTAGTCACACTATTTATTTCCTTTATGGCAGTCTTTAACCAGATCAGAAAATGTCTTGTTTTATTTGTGTATATATGCTCACCACTAGGGTGTGTATTCAGGGAGGCCACAAACCTTATCTTTTGATTCACCAGTTCACTCCTGATGCTTAGAACAGAACTGGCACATCACCAGAGCTCAGTAGGTCCTCCAAGGAAGAAAGCTAGTTGTAGCATTTCTGGCTATAAAATCTCTCAGAATTAAGTAACTAGACTAATACCCCCATTTTAAAAAACACTCAAAAGACAAGAATTCAGAAAAGAAGACAAATGGCCATTATAATCAGATAATTTTTGAAAATACAGTGGCATTTCAGTCTCCCCCCACCAAAAATGGTAATAACCAGTGTTTGTGAATTTGCACTGTTGGTGATTATATATAATTAATAAAACCCCTCCAAAGAGCAGTATGTATTAAGATCTATGAATATAAGTTTCCCCTCTGATCCAGTAATTATCTTCTAAAAATGTATCCTAAGGAAGTAGATTGGTTTATGTGCGTGTTATTTATAACAAAAAATAGAGAGCATCCTAAAATGTCCAGTGATCAGAGCACAATTACATTGTTACATTCCTATGATTTATGTTGTTTTATAATATTATTTAATAGCAGGAGAAATTGTTAAGTGAAAAAAAAGACACAGAATTTATATATAGTTGATCCAAATTCTGTAAAGAAATGGAGAAATTCCTTTATTTTGTGAATAAATAGATAAACTAATAAGTGCTAGAGGAAAATTACACAATGTTAACAGGGGTTCTCTGAGTATTTCTTGTATCCAGAGAACCTTGAATGTGACTCCTGTAGAATTCCAGTTAGAATTAGATATTACTGATTTTGTAATCTTTATGAAATAATGGATCTAAGCCTCCTGATGAAAGAACACAATACCACCTATGAAATACTCTTAATTTAATCCAATCTGATGAAGCCTCTAGATTATATCCAATGTCCAGTTTATAGGAAATTCAAGAGATGGGAGAACATGCTGGTAACACAGGGATTCATTCAGCAAAACTCAGACTGTGGGAAACTTTATAGGACAAATGACGTAGTTTCCTCAACAAATAAATTTAAGAAAAGAGGTGGGGGAGGTGGGTAAAAGTAGTGGCTATAGATTAAAAGACGCTTGAAATGTGTTGACCAACACAGTCGAACAAACTGTTAAATAATCGAACAAAAAAGTCATGAGACAATTAGAAATTTGAACATTTACTAGATATTTGGTGCTATTTAGGAATTTATATCTCATTCCCTGTAGCAAAGTAAGATGTCATGTCAGTTAGGCTATACATTTCCTATAGTAAGATGTAGCTGCCATTGCTCTCTAGTCAACCAACAGTTGTCTTTTTTATCATATTCATTTTCAACTGAGTTTTTCTTATATTAAAGATATTTGATATCAGTCGACAGACGAGGAGGCCCTTCAGTGGCCAAGGAGACTGTTAAACTTGCTGAAGAATTCTTCCTTTCTACTGAAGATACAGTTCTTGGCCTTGACCTCAGTGGAGACCCTACAGTAAGTTATTTTTCCTAAATAATTTTATTTCTAAAAGGTCAGGTTAGTTTGTGGGATAAGGATTGACTTGAAACATCCTGCATTCACCAGAGATCCAGTAGACTCTTGGATGACTAGAATGCCTACAGCAACTGTTCTCAACCAGGGTTCTGTGAAAGAATTAAGCCCCATAAAAAAAGAAAAAACTTGCATGACAATATTTTCTCCATTCTTCTAAAGATGGTATACAAGCTAGCTCTATTCTATATAGAAGTTAATTTGTTATATAGAATGGATGCCTAAAGCTATAGCTTAATTATCTCATAGAAGATCCCAATTGAGAAAGGCTAGCCTAGAGCTTCTTGAATGTAAGATTCAAGCAGGGTATCTCACCTATGGCATTACTGGCATTTTGGGCCAAGTAATTCTTTGTTATGGGGACTGTCCTGTGCACTGTAGGGCGTTTAGCAGCATTCCGGGCCTCCATCCACTAGATGTCAATAGGACCTCCCAGTTTTGATAGCCCAAAATGTTTCTAAACATTGCCAGATGTCCTGGAGCATGGGAGATTCTCTTTGTTAGCGCTAGATAACCTTTCAGAAATAAAATTTGGTGACTGTTATATTTAGTTTAGCTAATTGGCCTCAGGATCACTTAAGATTCTTGAGGGTGAACTGTATCTTTGCCAGCTTTGCATTGCCCACAAGTGTCTAGCACATTTTAGGTGCTTTATAAACAAAATGTACAAGTGAATTAATGTGCCATTTTTTTCTGCCATTATTTTATTTATTGGGACAGAGTACCCAGTTCCTCAGTCTTCCCAAGGTTCTCATGCATCCTCATTTTACCTTTTATCTTCAAGGCAGGACAAGCAAAGGATTTCTTGGAACCTCTTTTAGAAGCAAAAAAAGCTGGTCTAAAGCTGGCATTGCACCTTTCAGAGGTAAATATTGTAAAAATCAGGCTGGAGAGGGTAGATTACAATAGAAAATAATAGTCATCTTTAAATGTCTAAAAATATACCTGGCTTAGAAAATCATTTTTAGAAGGGGGAAATAGAAATATTTTTCAACATAAATTATAATGATAAAGGCATGGCTTTCCTTGGTCCCTTGTGTTACTTGTTTTGTTTTTGTGGTTCCTGGGAGGATGGCTGTTGACTTCTGATACAGCTATGTCTTGAAAACAACTTGACATCTTGCTAGAGAAAATGCATGAATTTCCATCACCAACCTTGTCATTGGCAAGCTGACATTGAAAGAAGCACCAGTTCATCTCACTTGTTCTCAAGGGGAAAGGGACCTCAATGTATCTGTCACAAGCACTGGCAAGAAAAGAAGTAGCTCATCATTTTATAAGGAGGCTCAGCAGGGAATCAGGGACACCTGATCAGCCCCCAGCTCCTTGGGAGCATGAACAAGTGACAGATAATGTACAGGTAATGGCTGGAGAACAGCCACTTTCTTAAGCACATCCCCATGAGGCAAATAAGGGACTCTACTGCACTTTCCCCAATTTTAAAGATGGTTTACTTTCTTCCTATTTTTTTCTTTTGACATATAAAAAGCTGTACATAATATGTACAACTAGATGAGTTTGGATTTGTTTCTTAAATGCAGGAAATAATACTTAGTCTACTTACCTCATAGGGTTATCCTGAGTATGGGGTGGGGTAATACATGATGGCTGAATAGCATGGTTTAAAGATTAAGGAGAAAATTGGAGCTTCTTGTCATTGGTGGTGGTTGTCATGTCTACAAGCAAAGGGTCGGTTATCTAGTGTCAGAACTTAAAATCTAGGTTCCATGTTTTCATACTCTGGTCAAAAAGATCTTTCACTCAAGTTAATACCTCCTGATTGAAGCAGTTGGTTAGTATAATGAAACAGCCAGCATGCACATGCCACTGTAACCAGCTATCTCTGATCTTATGCATGGCATCAAAGCTCTTTACATTAGTAACTGTTGATTTCTTGTTTGATCCATTGTATATAAAGCATTTCATTTCAGTGTGTTATTATTATTTGCCTTTTAGGCTATTAGGAGATTTAAAAAAAAAAAAACTGAGCTAGACATTTTCATGGTGGTTGTGGTATGTGTGTAGCTAGCCTTGTCAAAATAAAACATTGAGCATACTATCTGTGGAGTCTGGGCCCTGGTGTCAGGTGGAGCCAAATTTCACTGTTCTCTATATCATTCACTAGCTCTATGACCTTGGACAACATTTATTTAAGATACATTATATTTTTAACTACAACAATTATTTATCTGAAGAAAATCCAAGTGTAGAGAACTATAATGTAGAAGGAAAAACAATTAAAAAATGAAAGATCCCCTCTTTGTTTCAATTATGCTCCCAGGTGGATCCTGTTAACAGTTTTGTGTTGGTATTTTTCTAGACCTTTTTCTAATACATATGAACACATATACACAACAGAAAACATATATACATATGGACTGATGGGATTTTGTTTTTGAAAGTTTTTCTGAGCTGTAATTTCTTCATTTTAATACTTTGTAAGATTCTTGAGGTTTAAAGGAAAATGTATGTTAAAAGGAACAAAGTTAAGTCCTTAATAAGTGTTTATTATTATTGATTATAGTTATTATCATTGAAATGAATCTAGAGTATTGGAAAATGAATGGGAAGATAAAAGGCAAAGAGGAGAGCTGGAAAGGTATAAGTAGTTCAGCTTTCCAGAATGTCTGCACTATCTTCTCAGGGACAAAGTACCTGGCTATAGAAAAAAGGACTTTTAAGAAATACTGAAAGCCCTGGCCAGTGTCGCTCAGTTGGTTCGAAAATTGTCCTATAAACTGAAAGGTCATGGGTTCGATTCCCCATCAGGCACATACCTAGGTTGTGGGTTCAGTCCCCGGTTGGGGCACATAAGAGGCAACCAATCAATGTTTCTCTCTCACATCAGTGTTTCTCTCCCTATTTCCCTTCCCCTCTCCCAAATCAATAAGCATATCCTAGGTGTTGCATGAACAAATAAAGTTATTTAAAAAAAAAAAAAGAACCACTGAAAAAGGTTATTGATGCCCTCTCTCCCCTTTTTTGAGATTCCAAACCCCAAAAAAGAAACACAAGTACTCCTGGATCTGCTTCCTGACAGAATCGGACATGGGACATTTCTCAACTCCTCTGAGGGAGGATCCCTGGATCTGGTGGACTTTGTGAGGAAGCACCAGATACCGCTGGGTAAGGCTTAAGGCATAAGGTCCTCCAGATAACCCTCGGTCCCTTCCCCCGCCAGCCCCTAGATTGCAACCCATGTGTAGAGAAGTTTTGTTCTAAATATATAAGTATCATTTAGAAAGTAAAAGGTGCATGGCGTATGTGCTTTCTGAGCCTTTTAGGTAACCGAAAGTTTTAGCTCCCATTAGAATATACACTCCATGAAAGCAGGGCCCTTATCTGTCTTGTTCACTGTTACATTCCCCAGTTCCTGGAACTTAGTCTTATATTGAAAGAATAAGGGGCATCTAGTATTTTGAAATGATTTTAACCAAATTAATGTGTTATGAAAATGTAACATTTTAAAATTAAGAATTATGAAAAATTCGAAGTATAATTATATGTCCATTGACCATTACATACTTGTCTGTATGTATATACCTGGAGCTGTTTTTGTCTGACAGCATATATTTATGAAGTGCCTACTCTGTTCCAGTCACTTTTCAAATTGCTGGAAATAGAGCAGTAAACAAAACAGACAAGCTTTCTTTCTCAAGCAACTTATATTCTAGCATAGGTAAGAGAAACAGTAAACAAATATACAAGTAAATATCATTGTTCTTTGAAGAAAATTAGGCTGATATAGTGATGAGATAACCACTTTCAGTTGGGTGGTCAAGGGAGGCCTTTCTGAAAAGGGAAAGCAGCAACTGATTGAATGATAAATTGTTTGAATTTACAAATTTACCAATTTGCAAGAATACTTGTGTGGGTATGCAATTTTTTTTTTTTTTTTTTTACTTTACTGAATTTATTGGGCTAACTTTGGTTCCTAAAATTATCCAGGTTTCAGGTATACTATAATACATCATCTGTATATTGTATTGTGTTCATTGCGTCAAGTCTCCTTCCATCACCATTAAACTATTTATAGAATTTTCAGTAATTCCTAATGGGTGAGGCTTTTTTTCTTTTCACTGAGGAAATTTTTAAACATCAACAAAAGGAGAGAAAACAGAAACCATAGTGATAAGAGATCTTACTTAGTGTGATGGCTCAGCTCTGCTCCCAATCACACCAAGTAAGTGGGGTGAGGGGGCAAGTTGGGTTTGCCATTCCTTGGACTGAGTGGCCTTGTGTTGAGGCTGCCTTACCCAAGGGAGCAAATGCCATCCATCAAGTTGGTCAAGTATTTTACTCTGCCTAGAGAGCTTGGTACAGTTTTTCAAGGTAGGAATTTGTTAATAGAAGTCATTCTTAAGATGGACTTGCAGCAGGCAGTGATTGATGGTTATCTGAGTAAAGGAGATTAGGGGTTTTCTTTGAAGCCATGGAAAAGGTACATATCTGCTGTTGGCTTTTTATAATACTGTAACCCTCAAGCAGTGCTGCCATTATTTTACCTTTATTTTAGCCTCCACTCCAAGACCAGGGAGAAGTATAGCAACTTTCAGATAATTCCCTGGCTTCTTCATGTGACTGGCTTTTACACTCCTTTTTTCCCCCTCCATTTGGTAGAAGAAAGGGGGAAGCACATGACTGTGAAGGGGATATTAATTCCCTGCCTGGTGCAGTTGCTACCATAAGTTGGGCATATTCCCTGCATAACCACACTAATTGAACTACAAATTTTTACACATAAGAAAAGGTCAATTTTGTAAAATAATGAACTACTGAAAATTAGCATAGCTTGGAAAGATTTCACATGTATCTACTTGATGAATGAGCCTACTAACCTGCTTTTTGTAAAAGGCTTTTTCCTCTTTTTCATCTAGAACTCTGTTTGACCTCAAACATCAAAAGTCAGACAGTCCCGTCTTATGACCAGCATCATTTCAGATTCTGGTACAGCATTGCCCATCCTTCGGTGATTTGTGTAAGGTGTTTTGTGTGAAGTATTTTGCTCCTTTTTAGTCCCTGAGTTGCATTAGGTTAGACACTCAATACCTAGCTTACTGCCTTGCATGCCTGAGGGTAATAAGGGCCAAATAGAGTGAGAGGGGACTGGGGTAGAAGAGGCTGCAAAGGGCCAGGGTGACTCTGGTTTGGACAGTACCTAGGGGAACATTTAAAAAAAAAAAAAAAGAAGAAGAAGAAATAGTGATGCCTGGTACCCATCCCCTGAGATTCTGCTTTATATGATCTGGGGAGAGTCCACATATGTTTTAAAGGCTCCCTGGGTAATTTTAATATGCAGTCATGGTTAGAGCACTGCTTCAGAGAGAGCGAGAGAGAGAGAGAGAGAGAGAGAGCGAGCGAGCGAGAGAGAAAGAGAAAGAGTGTGTGTGTGTGTGTGTTTTAAGGGTAAACAAACCAATTTAGTTATAAATAGGCATGTATATATTCATAGGCCCGTTTAGACTCTTAAAAGAAGCATGGTAAATAGGAAAATACATAGACTCTATGATCAAAAAGTTGTTTTTTTTTTAAATCATTCCCTGAATCATTTTGAAATTTTCTTGCTTATGTTGGCAGACTGATGATAAGGGTGTTTTTGCAACACACCTTTCCCAAGAGTACCAGCTGGCAGCTGAAAAATTTAATTTGACCCCGTCTCAGGTATGGGATCTGTCTTATGAATCCATCAACCACATCTTTGCTTCTGAGAGCACCAGGTCTGAACTGAAGAGCAAGTGGAATCATCTGAAGCCCAAAGTGTTACATTTTTAAAATGTAATAAAGTGAATTACTTTTGAGTATGTGTTGCAACCAAGATCTTCTTGCCATATTCCTCTTAGTAAACCATCCACCTCTTTGAAGAACAGTAGCCAACTAGTATGGGCTCCATCACCAGTACCTTACTCATGGTGGGTGCTCAGTAAATATACCTTACATTGACTAACAGACTCTGAGGTCTTACATAGCTTACCTAAATGCTGCTTACTAGAAGGGACATGAATGTTGCTGCTAACTAAATTCCCCATTCCACCACTGATTTTTACTTAATGGTCCCTCTGCATTAGTGATCATAAAACTTCAGGAAATTCAAAGTATTTTTTCATAAGGAAAAGTTTTGGAATTACTAGTCTAAATAAGGTAAGGAGAGGGCGAAACAGATTGTCTCCAAGACCTTTAAGCTTTCTAGCTTCAGACAACAGCTCTGTATTTTGTTACGCTTACTGTAATCACTCTCTGAAGTATTCCCCAAAATTATTGACTCAAGGCTACACTGCATACTGTGGCCTTCTGTGAATATCCAGTAGTCAGGGTTAATCTACTTTGGGTGACTCTAGTGACAAGATAAGGCTAGCTGCTGAGATCTGGCTTTGTCCTTCTTATGATTAATTCCTCTGGAATCAAGCTATTGGGTTTTTTTTTAATGTTTCTACCTTACCTTTTCTCTTCTCTTTGACCATAATAGAGCTATGCCGGCCAGATGCTTCTTGAGCTCTAGGGTACTTTAGTCCTCTATTTCCAGCCTTTATTTTTTGTCACGCCACCCTCTGACCTCACTCAATCCCCATACCCTATTTCCAGCCTTTATTCTGACTTCCAGTTGTTCCAAAGTTTTGTTTCTGAAAGAGCCCATGAGGGAAGTAGGAGGAATTTAAACTAACTAAAATATCTCCATGACATCTGTTATTTTATGCACCATGATGTCAGAGAATACCCAATAACATTTTATACAGCAAAACTTTGAGACATGTATCTCACTAGATAGCTATTTGAATATATATGAATGAAGTTTTCATTTTAGATTTTGAGTTGAATAATGGAGAGATAATTGATCCATCTTTATATTCATATATCATCCTCCCTTTCCTACATGGTCAGCATAAAAATAGTTCTCTAAAGAGTTGCTGACAACACTCAGATTATAGTAGAAAAGAAATGGCAGCAACACAGAGACTGTATATGTTATTAAGTTCTATGGCATTGGCCACAGAGTACAAGCAATAAAAGAAGGATAGCATGGAGAAAAACGGAAAGAAACAACAGCAGTAGTGAAATGACTGATGGAAACAAATATGACTGCCCAGGTCTTGCTAATACATTCTTATTTCCTTTGCATGTAGTTCCATCCAGTCTGTTTCCATAAAAGTCTTGGTGTTAAAAGAATAGGGGTATACAGATTCTCTTGCTCCTCCAACAGTGGGCTTGGTTTCTCTTAGAATGTTTGAAAACTATTTCTTATTTCTTCCATCCTTATGAATAGTAGATTGGGTAGCAGATAATGATTTGTTAGCAAGTTTGAGGTGAACTGGTTTTTTCCCAGTAAGAGAGTTTGCCTTTGCCCTATTCCTTTTGCACATTCTCTTCATCTGGAGGTTGGAAGCCTAGTCCTGGTCCTGGGTCTTTTAAAATAAGACTCACTCTCCATGTTCAGTTCTGATGGAGCCTAATGGATATGGATACAGATACCACAGAAGGATTTTCATTCTAAGTTCTTTCACCATATTCTAATGTTTCTCAGTCTAGAACATAAAGATTCAGACAAGCATTCTCCTAGTAACCCCGCACAGGGAGCCAAAATAAGCAGGTGGAGATTTATCTTTTTCCACCAGCAACAAGTTAATCATAACTTGCACATACATGTTTTTAAAAACATCTGAAGAAACACTGAGCACTTTATATATATACTTTTTATTAACATGGTATCCCTGAGAGGCAGATTAAGGTATAAACATTATTCTGCTCTACAGAAAGGGAATTGGAGGCAGGTTGACTTACACATGAGATATCTGGAACCAGAACTCTTTATCTGTTGATATCCCAACCACTGCTTTCCCACAAGACTATACACAGATATACTAAGACAGTATCCTCTCATTTTTAAAAAACATACTAGCACACTTCCTAAACCATCTCAGATCCTGAAACATTGCTTTAGACTTCTGTTTTTTGTATCTTCCTGTCTGTTTAGGTAATATAATTGAGATACAATCTCCCTTTAATTCCTAATAAATGTTAGATTCTTTGTACTAGGACCCCTCAACACCAGAACCCTAGTTAATCCCTCATCTAAAACAGTAAACTATGAATTACAGAATATTCTCTCTCTCCACTCATCTCCAAGATCTCATTCTAACCACAGGACTCTGATTAAGTGTAAATGTGGAACAGCTACTTAGCCTAGGCCTTGGCCATCTGTTCACGCTCTCCTTTCCTGACCTGCTAATCAAAGTATCTTCTTAAGATAATGCAGTTTCTGACCCTTATCTTCCATAGGGGCTAATCCACTATAACTGCTCTTTCTTCTTGTCCAGTACCAGCCGGCTATTTACTTATTAGTAAGTACAGCACAGCACCTGAATTACTGTAGATGAGGGGAGCATCACCTCCTCATCTGCCTCTGGCACTCCATGCTTTAGCTAAGGTGATTCTCTGCCTCTGGCACAGCCCATATCACAGTGTCCCTCAGATTTTGTGCTGCTCCAAGCTTTGTTTAACCTTCCTTAGTTTCTCCTTTGACCTCTGCTCTATCTGCACAAAACACCTTGCTCCCCAATATTCCCACTTCTCATCCACTCAGCACTCACTTGAACGTTCATCCCACCCTAATCTACCCAATACACTTCCCTCCTTTGAACACTTCCTGCTTCACAAAGCGTTCCTGAATAAAGAATACCTCCCAGATTTTTCTGAACTCTAATGCAACAGACTTTGATATTTATGCAGTGTTACTACTTAACTTTAAAACTTGCAACTATACATGTATACTTAGTATTTGTCCATGCCAGTGTCATTTTAGATTGTATAGGACAGGGACTATTTGTGCTGTACAGGGCTCACCAAACTATTATGAATATATGGGTAATGAATGCAAAACTATTTAAGATCAAAATTACACTTTGGTGTGAAGAGCTGCTTTTAAAAATAGATGGATACAGTTGAATATATGCATGTGCATGTATTGGCAACTGAACTGACCAAAGATAATCTGTCCTCATCATTAGGGTAAAGAGTTGTTGGCTTGGTCTGTTTTCCCATCCATGGCAATGTGGCAGTGGCTTCAGCTCACTGTAGGTTACTATTGAACACCCATGGGGTATTGAACACTATACTAGGTGTTTGGAGTATGTGGAATATAGACAGTTTCTTATTGATAGCTTTAACTGCTTTCCCAATCACCACATCCAGCTGCCTTGCACTCTGGGCTTCTGGACCACAATGGACAGATGAAATTCAGATGAGATGGAACAGAAAAAAATCAAACTAGAAGCTGTAAATGTAGCATGCTTCTATTCCAGATCTTCTAGGGCTTCGAAGAAACTAAGAAACCCAGGGTTTACACCTAAATATTTATACAAGGTTACATTGTTTCCCCATATAGAACACCTAGGTTCTTGATAAGATTCATAGGTCCGAACCAAGATGGACATTAAACTCTCCTTCAAGGTAAATGAACAGTTCATGACAAATACAGATGCTCCTCTACTTACAATGGGGTTATGTCCAGATAAGCCTGTCATAAATTGAATATTTTGTAAGTCAAAAATGCCTTTAAAGCTACCAAACATCATAGCCTAGCCTACGGTTTCTACTGAAGGCATGTTGCATTCGCTCCATCACAAAGTCAAACTCCTGTAAGTTGAGGGCCATCTGTATTTCATTCTGGGCACAGGCTTAAGTGAGCAGGAAGAGCCTTTTGTTTTTGTACTTCCATTACTGTATAAAGAGCTAGACCTACTCAACGAGAAATCTCACATCTTGTCCCTTAAATGCTGCTGTGATGGGTTTTTCCACTCAAAATGCAGCTGCTTAACAGGATGAGTAAAGAGGGGTACATGTCAGACTCATAGGATCTACTACTATGACCTCTCTATTAAGAAACAACATAGGTACTGAAAGGAAAAGATGTTACCTGTCAGTTCAGATGCAGACATGGAGATGGACTGAAATCTTCCTTTTATCCTTAAGATGACTGCCTTGGGAATTTGATCCAAGAGAAACAGGAACAGTGAGGTAAATCCTAGAGTATTTCCTAAGCTAGTTGGGCACAGAATAGGAGATGGATCTCACTTATTGAAAGACTTTTTCAAACAATTTCAAACATTTATTGAGGCTCTTTATTTTCTTATAGATACTCAGGGGCTTACTACTTAGGCACTGGCTGTGTCAGAAGTTTTTCTCTTGTATGGATTTCTCTGTGCTTATTCAAAGCAGAGCTTTTACTGAAGCACTTGCCACAATCATGACACCCATAGGGTTTCTCTCCTGTGTGGGTTCTATGATGTGCACGTAAGTCAGAACTCTTACTAAAACTCTTTCCACAATCAGGACACACATGGGGTCTCTCTCCTGTGTGTATCCTCCGATGTGCACTAAAATGAGAACTGTTATTGAAACTTTTTCCACATTCTTCACATTGATAGGGCTTTTCTCCTGTGTGCGTTCTCTGGTGAATTATAAGGCTTGAGCTCTGATTGAAACGTTTTCCACACTCACTGCATTGATACGGTTTCTCTCCTGTGTGGATTCTCCTATGGGTGATGAAATTTGAACTGTCACGGAAACTTTTCCCACAGTCAAGACATTTATATGGTTTCTCTCCAGTGTGGATTCTCCGGTGTCTAATGAGGCGTGCACTCCGACTGAAGCTTTTCCCACAGTCAGCACATTTATATGGATTTTCCACTTGATGGGATATCTGATGCATGAGGTGGGAGTTTGGACCAAAGCTTTTGCCGTATCTAAGATATTTATAGGGTCTCTCTCCTAAGTAAGGTCTCTGATGACTTAGAACTTTACATAAACTTCTGTCTGGGAGTGTGGGCTTTCCTCTTCTCTCCCCTGGAGTCCTTTCCCACTGTCTTCCTGATCTACATCCACTCTTACTGCCTTTGCCCTGATTAAGATGCCGGACAATTTTCCTTTCAGACCTTGCAAGTAATGTCCTATGTAGTTGCACTTCCTCAGAAATATCCCGTTTTAGATTCTCTTCATTCTTAAATCCGGCCTCAAAACCTGATGTGAGAATAGAATTTTTAAAGTTATCCATTTCCTCAATTATGTGCCAAGGTAAAGTAAGTATTATATTAGATAATTAAAGATAAAAATTAGTTGTAGGTCCTAAATAATTACCATCTATTAAAATTCCAGTGTTTTCCTCTTACATTTGATAACCTATCATGTGCTTCTCATCTACACAGGGCTAATTAGTATATTCTTCTCTTTCTGAATACCTAGGATCTTCAGAAAATCTCAGTATAACAAGAAAAACCTACCAAATTTAAAACTATCATGTTTATATAGCAAAGACACTTTCTAATGCTGTATTTTTGTGTCATCAGGCCTATTACGGTATTCTAGTTTATGTTCTGTGCCAGTAACTAAAGGTATCAGAAGGGAATGTCCAGGAAAACTCTGGAAAACTTGTATATCCAAAAAGAGTTATATGAGTCCTCTTCTGCTCAAATTCCAATATATGTTGAGAAAAAAATAGGGTAGAAAAATACTTGGTGTCTTTCAAAGAACAAAAGGCCTTCTGACAGAAGATCTTTGCTAGGAAGTGCCTCATTAGAAACATTCTCTTTGCCGATGGAAAGATAATCACTAAATGTTCTAAAAGCACTTATTCTAATGCCCAAGCTAAGCTTTTAATATTCTTCTAAGAACCAAATGCCAGGCTCCCCAGGCCTAGGCTAATGTGAACTTGCAGATACTTGCAAATTTTTAGTTTGAATTTATAGAATTTTCAGATATTTCAGATAAACTTTGGATCCCTAATTTCCTAGACTAAATCTGAACGAAAGAATGCTGAATGTCAGCCTGTATATATACCCTCTAAAGCAATATTTCTACTTACAAGCCAAGTCTTAAGAGATGTCCTGTGAAATAGAAGTTCATCAGGTTAAATGAAATCTCAGAACCTTAAATATGTAAATATGTTTTGTAATCCTTCATGAGGAATATTTAGCAGTTCCTAAACCCAGAGGCATTTTTTAGTGGAATATATTATTACCCCCACGGAACTGATGCTCCATGAAACACTCTTGAAGAATATTCATCTAAAGAACATTTGGAAAAGAAAATTGCCATTTATTGAATACTTATGACATGCCCAAGCATTGTGCTAGGTGCTTCACTAAGGAACTTCACATATATCAGCCTTTTGAAGTAGGTCTTCACAGATAAGTAAACTTACAGGGTTAAATAACTTGCTCTAAGTTACTCAACTTATAAACAACAGAGTCTAGATTCACATACATATACAGGGGTGGGTAAAAGTAGGTTTACAGTTGTGACTATGCCAAAACACAGTTTATTCTTGTATTATTATTATTATATGTCATCTTATTTCATATCTTTACTTATGATTTATCTGTTAGGTAATGATGGCTGGTAATTTAACCTACTTTTGCCCACCCTTGTACAGGTATGACTCAAAAATCAGAATTACTCTTCCTTTTCAAATATATGTATAAAGCAGATATACAGCTGGTGTATAAGCTAAAACTAGAACAAACTAATGAAAATGAACTCTTAAAATCAACTTCATCCTATTATGGGTACATAGAAAATGTTAGCTTTCAGATTTCCTGGTAGTAAACTACCTAGGCACTTAGCAGCTCATTTGTAGATGATAGCAAATTTACAAAATCTGAAACCACTTTGGATTGATGCTGTGTGAGGCAAGTCAAGTGAATAATTTATATCCCCTCACTGAAATGCTTTAATAGCCAGGGGATATGGGGAAGAGAGAGGTGGTTACAAGAAGAATCCATTACAGCTGGGCGTAGAGGTTTCAACCCAATTATTTTTTTCCTAAATCCCACTGCCTCCCCTTTTCTATTTAGGTCTAATAAGTAAAATAATCTTACCACTAGGGCTCTGGAATAAGACTGGAGCACGTGTCATGACAGCCCCTGGGGGTAGCTCAGTATCCTCTTCATCATCAGAATCTTCTGTGGCCTCTTCTGCCTCACTGGTATCCTGCATGGGGCAAGAAGCTGTGTCTTCTTCCTGGAGATCACTGGGTGGGGCAGCATTGTGGGCACTCACCAAAGCATCCATCTCTTCAAAGAAGGGACAGGTCTCTGGTGCTTGGCCATTCTTGACTTTCCGATAGCTTGTTTGTAGGCTTTTAAACTTGGTCCGACATTGCTCTGGTGTCCTAAGGAAGCCATATTCCCATAACCGCTGAGCCACTGCTCCATACAACTGGCTGTTCCGGTGACAGTTCTGGAGGGCTTCGTAAAACTGAGTCTCACTAAGAATTGCAAGATAAGTCTTTGTCTCTTCATAGCCCCAGTGTACACCTGCCACCAGAATAGAAATGTCAATACCGGGGCTTTAGGGCCTCAATTCCTTAATCCTATTAACTGCATCATGAAAGGTGCATATTGCCCAAAGAATGACTCAAAAATCTAACAAACAATCTCTTTTAAAATCACACTGTTGCCTAATCCCTATTATGGCCCTTCTTCACTTGCCACAATCTCAAAAAAAGAAAAAAAGAAAAAGAAAAGCCCAATAACATCAAAGACCTGAAAGGGTACAAGATAAAGGACCTCACAGTCATGCAACTTATCGTTAGGAGAGAACTGGCAGGAGCCAGGAAGAGGAAGGAAGCAGAGCAGACAGCATCTCCTGGCCTGAACACGAGCTAGTGCTGCAGGTCCCACTTGGGCAGTATTTCATCAAGACGATTACAGACCCTGCTCCCTGAAGGTAGCCAAGGAAGAGGGAAAGGAAATTCAAAGAGTCTTCCTCCCACTTGAGAGCCAGCTGGAGATTACATTGCCTCCATTATCCTCCACTCACTGTAAGTAAAGAAGGGGGGAGAATTGGAAGACAAAAAGCAGTGGAAAAGGGTGAAAATTATAGCAGGTGGCACATGTACCACATTTGTGATTTATCTCCATTTATTCTGGGGACAAAAAATAAAAAAGGAAAAAAAGGAAAAAGTAGACAATAGGAAGAACAGAACTAAAACAACATAATATTTAATTAAAAAATGGAAGCAAAAAAACCACTGTTCACTATAACTGTAAAAGATAGAGTCCTTCTGCCATTCCCCATTTTACAGTTCAGAAAACAAACTCTGAAATGGTCAGATAACTGTCCCAGGGTGCTCAGCTGATTAATGGTTAGGATTAGAAACAAAGCCTCCTGGCTCCTTTGGCACCCTTTCCATAACAACATGGTTGTAGAAATTACATCAACAGTAATAAAAGATACTTACAAAACTATTCCACAGGCAAATAGTATTTCAACATAGAGTATTAAACAAGATTTCTTGCTGCAGGACTTCTTCCTCTTAAAATGCCAGCATGTGTTGCAAATCTCATTGAAGAGACTCAGAAACTGTTTTCCCAACTTTGGGCAATCCTTCACTATGCTATTCTAAGTAAAAAGGAAGCTATAATAAACTAACTTTGAGATTTGGGGGAGTAAAAGATAAAACACCAGTTCATAAAAGGTGCTTGATAAATATTAGTTCTTAAAATAGTACCAAGTTTTTTCAGCCTTTAATGATTTTATAATCAGGAAAAAAACATTTTAATAAAGAAATAGAAGCACAGATCCTCCTTTTCAGAACTCTCTTGAATTTGCTGAGTGTATTTCTTTAAAATACCTAAAATTATTCCCTACTTTTATTATCTCACTGACTTTCCCACAGAATGAAATACACGTGGAACTGAGAAGTGCCTCTTTGTTCTCTAAGTGACAAAGCTAGCAGGTGACATTAAGCTTCATGACTCCATATCCAGTCTCATAACTCCTCAAACCTAATTCCAAAAGCCCAAGAAGAAAAGCTTACCACTTTGGCTTCGGAAAAGGACAGGTGCAGTCGAGTTGTTGGGGTCCTGGGGGTTGGCTTTCTGGCACATTTCATCACTGTCAGACTCTTCAGCCATGGCCTCTTCTGCTTCCTCCTCATGCTGCCAACTCCCTGGACCTGGTTCCTCCGTCTCAGCATCACTGCTTGCCAAGCCAGAGTGACAGGCCGCCTCTTCCAGGCCGTTACTGGGCAGAGCAATAACCTGAGCACTCATCAGGGCTTCCATCTCTTCAAAGAAGGGGCAGGTCTCAGGTGGGTGGCCATTCTTGACTTTCCTATAGCTCTTCTGAAGGCCTTTGAACTTGGTCCGACACTGTTCCAGGGTCCGGAGGAAGCCATACTCCCGGAGCCGCTCAGCCACAGCCCCATATACTTGGCTGTTTCGATGACAGTTTCGGAGAGCCTCATAAAATTCTGTCTGACTAAGAATTGCAAGGAGTGTTCTTGTCTCTTCATAGCCCCAGTGCACACCTGCCACCTTCTCATCCTCAAAGCCCCAGTGATCCTGTTCCACCCAGCGTTTTTTCTCTCTCCTGGATGGTAACAGATCAGCATGCATTTGTCTGTCTCCTGTGAGATTGCCTCTTGGGATCTCCTTTTCCTTGGAGCCCAGATCTGGGATCCAAGGCTCTCCTTGCTCCAACTTGGAGACCACACTGGATTTAGGAAATAGAAATCCTGCTTGCAGGGAAGCAAACAAAGGACATCATAGTCTGGACTGATCATTTAAAAAAAAAAAAATCTCTGAGTTCAGACCTGCCTTTTTTATCCAAGAGGCTTATAAACAAAGTGTCTAATATTTTCAGAAAGTTCAGTGTGCTGAATGGGGAAAATAAATGAAACATCAAAAAATGAGAAATAATTGTATTTTCCAGAGCAGGGTGACAAGAGGAAAAGATCTGTTGTATGTTTAGAGCAGATAATTCTGTTCCAAATTGCTCCCTAGCCCCACTGACCACTTGTAGGCAGGTCATGGGCTGGGAAACAGTTGCCTCCTCTCTCTTAGAATTCTCCACTTGGGGCTAGAAAATTAAACTCAGATTTCAAGGAGGCGGGGAGGAGAGGGGAAATCATCTTCCAACTCCTGTTTCCTTCACAGCCACCAAGTTCTAAAGGTTTTTTCCCTTATTATGTCCCCTATTCCTACTGCCACTATCCAAGTCTAGACTGCTCATCTTCTCACAACCCAGATAACTGTAGCAGTCACTGTGCTACCTAGCTCCAGGCTCTTGCTTTCTCAGCTCACATGCTATACTGCTGGACCTTAACCTGAGTGCCTACTATGCACTGCCCATTCATACCACTCTTCCCCTCCTATCCATATTTAAACCATTAATCCAAGCTGTATTTGCCAATGCCCCCCCCATGAAGCCTTCCCTATAGCCCTCCCTCATCTTCCACTCTGCCAAACCCTCTATGCACTCACACAGTTGAGTAACAAGTCATTGTTTAGCAATTGTTTCAGTACAGTTCAGCATATATTTGTTTGCTGTTATGTTCTCAATCATATTATAAGCTCTTTAAAATAGGCATCTTTTCTTATGGCAGAATACCTTGCAAGATGTTGAGCACATGGCAGGTGTTCAAAAACTGATTCATTCTACAAACCTGTGTGTGGCGTTGAGGAATTGTATCTGGATGACTAAACATAGACCATTCCCCAAACTGGCTGAGACGGCTAGCATCTTGACATTAACATCAGAATTCAGAACAACCTCAACAAGTTAAAGAAATAATCGAAGAAAAAAACATAAAATATGGAATTCAACAGAGTAGAAAGTAGAAAAACAAGCTCTACAAAATCACGTATAAGAGTACTACACACAAAGACAATGGGGAAGGCTATGAGAGTTCTGGGAATTACAAAGTGAACAATAGTCATCAAATAATTAGTTGAGCTATACTGAAAGAAAATGTGAAATTCTGAAGTAAAATTCTTACTCTGCCTCAACTTATCAGACTGTCACTGGAATAATATATATAACTTAATTCTCCATAATTGATATTTGGAGAACTTAAAGTTTCCATGGGAGAGTAACAAGAACTGAGTACATCTGAGCCCTGGATGGTGTGGCTCAATGGGTTGGGCATTGTTCTGGAAACCTAAAGGTCCTGGTTTGATTCCAGGTCAGGACACATGCCTGGGTTGCAGGCCAGGCCCCCCAGTTGGGGGTGTGCAAGAGGGAACCAACACGAAAAGCTATCAATCAACGTTTCACACATCGATGTTTCCCTCTCTTCCTCTCTTTCTAAAAATAAATAAAAATCTTAAAAAAACAAAAACTTAGTATGTCTGAATAACGGGGCTTCCGGGGAAAAATGTAAAGAAACAAATACAGTTTATTTCAGAGAAGGAAAATGAGTAAAAGGAAGATGTACTTTCAAGTACAGAAAATAATTTTTATCTAGAAAATACTTGGTATCATCATTACAAAGAGGAACTAAAATGGCTCACAGTTCTGATAAAAACTAGGGAACCATCCTCTGGCAGACTTATCAAAAGAGGACATATAAGAATTCTCACTGCAGCAGAGAGCTAAGCTATATGCCTTCAGAAGGTCCCCAACAACCATATACTCTAATTGCCACTCATTCTGAAATCCCTTTTCCACTCACTATTCCCAAATACTACTTCCCAACTTAGAATGGCATCCTATCTTCCCATATGAATCTACTCCTCACCGCTCCTTTGAAAAGGTCTGAGCTTCTCCTTTGGATTCATCTGCTCCTGTGGTCCCAGGTCTGGGCTTCTTGCCCTCTCTTTCTTGGGTACACCCCTGGACTGGGGTTCCACTGACTCCTGCCGAACACTTAATAACTCTTGTGTTGATTTCATGGGTGTCATCTTCTCCAAGCGCACTTCCTGCCCCTTCACAGAGACTGTGACCTAGAAACAACCCCCATTAATTGTCACTACAAGGTTATAATGAGGGGCATTCCCAGAGGAGATTATTTAATACCCTCCAAAAAGACCACTATCCTTTTGGGACATGGCTAGTAGTGGTGGTGGTGTTAATAGCCAACAAGAGTCATTCTTATTCCATTACTGTTAGTTTAGAGCAGCTGGAACATCCAAAGGAAAAGATCAAAATAGTAAACCCAACTACAGACTAAAAAATAAATCCCTTTTCTTCTCTATTAAATAAAAAAACTGAATCTATTTACTCATGATGACAGGGTGGAAAAGAAACACCCAGCTATCATCTCCTGATAAGCTGTACCTGAAAAAGTTACCTGTTCCAGGACCAGCATAAGCATTACCAAGGGACATTGTACCCCTCTTTAAATCTGTCTGTACCTTCATTTGACCCCTTAGTCTTGCCCCTTCCCAGGCACATACTTCTTAATTCCCCCTCCCTTCTCACCGAACGTCCAGGTCTTCCAGGCTGTCTTTCTAAGTCTTCCACCAGAGCCACAGCCTCTTCTCCACTTTCTGGACATTGCTTCTGTACCCACTTCTGGATCTCCCCAGGTAAGATGGTCAGGAACTGCTCTAGCACCAACAACTCTACAATCTGCTCCTTGGTGTGTATCTCCGGCCTCAGCCACCGACAGCAAAGTTCCCAGAGTTGGCTGAAAGCCTCCCGGGGACCAGCTGCCTCCTGGTAATGAAATTTCCTGAAGCGCTGTTGGAAGGTCTCAGAGTTAGTACCATTCCCTCTCAGAGTGGGTTTGGCCATCATTCACAGCAGAAAGCAGCTTTCCTCCACATAAGGGTCTGGGTTCCAGGGCTCATGCCTATCTTCCCATGTACTTGGATCACCTGCAGATGAGTCTCTCTGTAAGAGTTTCCTCCTAGAGTGGAGAGAGATAGCACTATCAGAAGGAATATACTCATACATCTGAAGTCCTGCCATAGCTGGCCTGACTTCCCATATATATGCTCCATGTGGCCAGCTGAGATAGCACCAACTTCAGGATAGAAAGCCAAAACTGAGCATGGAGAGAAAACTTCCAAAAGCTACATTTCTGGGCGATTTTCCAGGGTGTCATGGAGAAACAGCAGAGAGAAAAAAAAGTAATCTGCTCCTCTTCCCCATCCCCCAAATCTGATCCCCATTTAGCTCCTCTGACCAATGTTGCATAGTGGGTTCGAACCACATGAGACCTGGAGCTCAGGATCTAATGGCAAGTCACCACCCTGCTCAAGGCAACAAAAAGCCTCTGTCCAGCGGGTCGCAGCTGATCTTCCCCAGTACCTCCGCAGTCCTTCCCCAGGCCTCTACGTCCGCCCTGCCCCCTCGAACTCCACACCTACCAATTCCCACCCCAGACAAAACTCAAGTACTGAAAACTGGGTCTTCGCTTTTCCTTACATCAGAAGTACCCGCTCAACAAATATTAGGGAACTACTGACGGGAAACCTCGCGACTGGGAGAAGTTGGTTTTGGCTCCTGAAGCGAGAACAAACGGGCTTGGGAGGAGAGTCGCACTGAGTTGGTGGAGAGAGAGTCCGACGGGGCAGTAGTAATGGGTGGCCTGAGGACGAGCTCGGCTGCTGGCCAGGAGACCCGAGTGCTGCGGAGTTGGCGGGCGCGGAGCTCAGCTCAGGAAGCGGCGGGTGGCGGGGTTCGGCCTCTTTGTCTTCGCTTCCTCCGGCCAGGTCACTCTCGGAGCCGTGGTACAGTGCCCTCCACAGACCTCCGATGGGGCTAAGGTTCTGGATAGCACCCTCCAGCCCACCCCTGGGAATGTCTCTCTTTGGGGTTGTCCCTCAACCCACTCGTATCTCTTCACACCCGCCAGCGTCAAGCACCCGGGGTCGGCCCCAAGCCGGGCTCTCTAGCCTTGTCCAGCTCCCAAACCGGAAGTCCAAGCGGGTGACTGGGGCGCCAGGGCGCATGCGCAAAGTCAGCCACCGCGACTTCTCCGGCGAAGCCTGGGCTGCAGCCAGCGGGTGGGCCCAGTCCGCTCGGCTTACTTCCGGAGCGCGGCGCGTCGACCCTTTCCCCGCTTCCCGTCTACTCTTCCCGCAGCAATTGTTTCGGCGCGTAGCTTCAGGAGGAACCGTCGGTCCCAAGGGCCTGCGCACGTGTTGAGAAGGGAGCGTTGGATTCTGTGGTTGCCTTGAAGGGCTCTGGAGGAAGGAGCGACGCATATAGGGACTCGAGGTCCGCGGGGGTAATGATCCACGAACTGCTCTTGGCTCTGAGCGGGTACCCAGGGTCCATTTTCACCTGGAACAAGCGCAGTGGCCTTCAGGTACTGTCCAGCTCAGAGCGCGGGAAGTGGCGAGCTCAGAGTGGGTAGACCTGAGCCGGTGCATGGGGGAGGAGTCTAACGTACCTAGGGGGCAGGGTTTGCAGGGGCCTTGGGGGCGGGAGGCGTGTCCCTGGGCTTGTGACTGGAGGGGCCTAAGGGAGACTAACCCACAGTGAGAGGGTTGGCCTTCGGCTGGGAAAAGCAGGGCAAACCCAGAATGGCCCCGCCGTCAGGGAGGGAGAGGGAGACCCGGACCCGGCCTGAAGTTGAGGCGTTTGAGCGAGTTTCTGGGGAACTGAATGTAAAAGTGAGGGAGGCACTTTCTCCTATTTCCACTCTGGCACTCTGCTTTAAATTGAGTTTCGAAAGCTAGACCAACTACACAGCGTTTAACATACAATAAGGGCTCAGCCAATTTTGCTGAATGAAAAAATGAATGAGAGTGTGTTTCTCTCATGTCTCCTTTCTCAGGAAATTTCTGCACTAGGAGAATTTGGAAGGGGGGCCTTCGTGTAACCAGGAGTGTGTGAGGAGGAATCTGAATTACTCTTTTCCATTTCTGCTTCCAGTAATGTTATCTAATCCTCTCCGTAAGTTAGTAACTAGATATTGTTAGCTCCAGTTGACATACAAAGGAGCAAACTGAAGCTCAGAGAATTTTATGGTGGCTAGTCCTGGTAATAGCAAGATTTGCATATAGCTTTGTCTGATGACAAGGCCATGCCTATTCCTATGAGAATTGGCAGCATAGCCTGGGGAAGAGCAGAAAAATAACATTCTTTAGTCTCTAAAACCTGTAAATCAAAGCAATTCCTCTTACTCATTTTCCCCTATAAAACTAGCACAATGCCAGGCATATAGGAGGAAAGGGCCCAAGAAGTATTTGTGGGTGCTTTATGACCTGAAGAAAAAGAGACAGGAAAGAGAGCTACCTATCTTTCTTATAAAAAAGTTTCAGTCAGAGATTTTCTTCCTTAAGTTCTCAGCTTTAAAGTCATCTCCTCAGAAAACTTTTTCTGACCATCTTTTATGTATCCTTCCCTTATGCCATTATCCTCTATCCCAGAAACTTACTTATTTCCCTTATAGGATTTACCACAATTCACAATATTTATTGTTGTTACCTGTTTCTAGTCTTTCTCTCTCACAGATTGACCATGGGGGCAAAGATCACAGTGGTCTTCATAGATGTACCAGAGCAACTGGCACAGTTTCTGCCAGAGTAGGTGTTCAGATACTTATGCACGAAAAGGCCACCAAAACCAGAAAATACTGCATACTTTCTGCAGAGCAATGGTTTTCAATCCTAAAAAGGAAAGACATTTTGACAAATGCTACAATATGGATGAAATTTGGAGATACTACTAAGTGAAATAAACCAGTCACAAAGCACAAATATTGTGATTCCACTTATTTGAAGCACTTAGAGTAGTGAAATTCATAAAGAGGAAATAGAAGGGTGGTTGCCAGGAGCTATGGGGGGGGGGGGATAGGGAATCTTCGTACAATGGATACAGAGTTTCGGTTTGGGAAGATGAAAATTATCTGGAGATGGATGGATGGTGGTGATGGCAGCACAACAATGTGAACACACAATGCCAAGAATTGTACACTTAAAAATGGCTAATATGGTAACTTTTATGTATACTTTGCCACCATTTTTTTGAAAAAGTTAGTTGAATGGATATATTCTCCCACTACTTTTTTCTACTTGAACTGCTGTGTAACCTTTATATGGCATACTAAGCTATCATTTGGCTATCATTTAAATTAAAAATACAAATAAAAATATGGATACTAAATGTATATGTACAGTTATAAGGTGCTTTTACAAATTATAGTATGCTACATTTATTTACATTTTTATTGAAATGAAAACAAGATTTAAAATTTCATAAAGAATTTATAAATCCTAAGAATATGTTTGAGAAACTCCTGAAATTTGCTAAAGACTTTGCTAACGACAGCTTTGTTGCAACCAGGTAAGAAACCTCATATCTTTAAAGAATGTCTCTGAAATGTTGCATAAGAAACAGATAGGCCCTGGCCAGGTGACTCAGTTGATTAGAGTATTTTCACAATATGCCAAGGTTTAGGGTTCAACCCCCAGTCATGGTGCATATAAGAATCAACAATGAATGCATGAAAAAGTGGAACAACAAATCAATCTCTCTCTCAAATCAGTAAATAAAATTTTTAAAAATATGTATTTTTTTGAAAAAGAAACAGGTATAGTAGCTGCCTCTGAGGGGAGGTTGACTTATTTTTTTTTTATTTTTTTATTTATTGATTTTAGAAAGGGGGGAGGGAAAGTGAGAAACATTGATGCATTTATTGATTGATTATTTTTTAGAAAATTTTTTTGAATTGATATTAGAGGGAGAGGGGGAGGGAGCCAGAAACATTGATTTGTTGTTTCACTTATTTATGCATTCATTGGTTGCTTCTTGTGTGTCCCTGGCTAGAGGTTGAATCCACAGCCTTGACATATCAGGACAATACTCTGACCATCTGAGCTACACAGCCAGGGTTCATTGGTTGATTCTTGTATGTGTCCTGACCTGGGATGGAACCTGGAACCCTGGTGTATGTGGACAACGCTATAACCAACTTAGCTCCACGGCCAGGGTGAGGTTGACTTATTTTTTAATGTACAACATTTTGTATTGTTTGAATGTTTTACTATGTGTTATCACTTATTTCAGTAAAGAACTAATTAGGTTGAGGGTGGGGAACAGCACCTTTGTAGTGGGTTTGAAAATTCTTTTGTTATCAAGAACTTACCAATCTTAAATGGGCATTTTGAAAAGGGAAATGATAAATAATACAAAACATTTGAAGGACCTCAAAGACCAGCATGTAGTGAATTACAGGCATCAGTGTTTTCAGCCTGCTTCCCTCCTACAGGTGTCACAGGACTTCCCATTTCTCCATCCCAGTGAAACCAGTGTCTTGAATCGACTCTGCCGCCTGGGCACAGACTATATTCGCTTCACCGAGTTCATTGAACAGTACACAGGCCATGTGCAGCAACAGGTAGGTTCCTGTCTTCAGGGAATATACACCTCCAGAGGGAGGGAACTATATCAAGCTTTTAGTGAATCCACTGGTAATTCATGTGAAATAAGTCACAAGAAGTTATGAATTTCTCATCACTGGAATTATTCAAGTGAAGGCTAGAGGTCCATACCTCACATAAGGGGAAAATATACACAAGGACTAATTTAGGCAGATTGGTGTGAGAGAATGTGTTTTGCCTGAGTTTTAAAAGGCCGGAATTAAATTATTTTGAGCTAGACCAGAGTCCCAGTTCCAGAAGTGAAAACATAAAGCATTATTTCAAATTCTATTGCCACTCTGCTTCTATCTTAGTCACATAGAGGCAAGCAACTAAAATCTTTTGGTTTCATTTTTAAAATTTGTAAATAAAAGAGTTAAACCAGAGAAGGTGCTTGGCACATAGTAAGTACTTAATAAATATTATCCATTATTATGAATTAATTGGAAGTCAGTGTAGAAGTCAAGAATTTGTGTCCTGTGTCATCACTTACTGGTCATAGACTGCTCAGCAGTAACTTAATTCTCAGTAACTAAGGTTCAGTTCTCTTATCTATAAAATGGGGATAATAGATAGTGCATTTGTCATAGGGTTGTGAGGATTAAACAAGGTAATTCATGTGAATGCCTGGTATATCGTAAGGACTCAGATTTTTTTAAAGAGATATTTTCAAGTTTTCTTTATTTTTAGCCATCTGTAATTCTTATTAGTGGTAAGTAAAAAGACTGCTGAATTGTATGACTGATACAGTGATGACTATTTTCCAGTTGAAAGAATGATTCTGATTTAGGGAAAAGGTGGGGACTTCAATGCAATCAATACCTGTGGCCCCAGAGGGTAAATTGGTTATCAGGCCTTTGGTGTGTCAACTGATGGCTGTTGATGCCAATTCAGTGACAGCAAGAATCCATTATTTGGGGTGCAGTGAAGGAGAACACCTTATTCAGTGAGAAACAGCTCAATTGTTATACAGTACAGCTGTGAAAATAGCACGGCTATATAACAGAACTGGGGCCAGGCAGCCCTGAGGCTGGGCCCCTCTCCGGCTACACAGCTCTCCTCTGATTCTTGATGATCTGCTTTGCACTACACTGGTCTGCTCCACTCTGCTCTGGCAAGACGTCTTCCCTATTTCAGCTCAGCCAGGGAGAAGCAGTCTGCAGTCCTCAATGGAAAGGGAAAGTTGGAAGGGAACTGGCTTAGATGGACGGAAGTCCATGTCCCCATCCCTCCTGAGTCCATTCTCATGCAAATGAGAGGTCCGAATCCTTGAAGTTTCATTGGCCCAAAAGGCACTGGCCTGATTAGTCAGAATAGAGCCTCAATTCTATTGGTTAAAATAGGATTGCAGCAAACTTTTACAAAGGCTGGCTTAGATGGCAGAAATACAGTTCCAGAAGGCAGTTCAGCTCAGGCTTCTTTGAAGTTCAGTTTGTGTGAGAGGCTCCTGTGCAGAAATGGCCACTACCCTGTTTTTGTTTTTGTTTTAAATTTGAGCCTGGTTAGCCACCGGGAGCTCTTGTTAGTAGATGCCTTTTTTTCTCAGGGTTCACAGGTGGTAATCTGTGGGGCAAAGGAGTTGAAGGATAACACCTTATGTTTTCCAACTCTGGGATAGGGATTCTGGTTCACTTAAATTGATTTCATTGCAGAGAAAATATATAAGCTAAACATGAGCTTAAAATCTAATCAATGTGGGGTTGGTAGGGCAGGAGAGAATAATTGCGGGGGGGAATGGGAAAGACTGTAACTGAACAACAATAAAAATATAATTAATGATAGTTTGCTATGAAATCATATTAAGAAAGCATATTTATAAAGGGGTAGGATTGAGGGTGGGAGGTATGGTGGGATGGGGGAGGCTGGTGAGGGGAGAGTGGAGACAACTGTGCTTGAACAACAATAAACAATTATAAAAGTTGAAATCTATACATTATATTAATATAGATGAACCTTACACCTATATTAATGTAATGATGTATACATACTATATCATTAATATAGACATATATTATTAATATTAATATTGATTTTTTGTATATAACACCTAAAAGAAAAAATCTGCTCACATTTGTGTGACTGTGGGTTTCATCTTATATGATATGTGAATTCTTACTTTCCCAATTTTAAAGATATCTGTAGTACCTCTTTTTTTGGAAAAGTAAAAAGCATACTCATTTTCTCTTTTATTTTGTCATAAATGAAGATAGTTAGATCTCTGCAATGACACAAGATCAAAATAGAAATGACTGTAAATTGATCTGGTCTATTTCACCATATGCCCATGCTGTTCTTATTATAGGAGAGGGGACTCAAAAAAAAACAACCCAGAATTATCTTCTGGAAGGTGGGCTCCTAGTAGTACAGGCTTCCCCCAAATAGGTGATTTTTCTAGGAACCCATCTGTATCAATGTACCAGCTGGCATTGTTGTGAGGCTGTGTTCCACTTCAGTGATTTTTTTTTTTCTGAACACTCTTTCAACGCATTTGCCCATTCACGATGGGTGATTTACAGGCTCACCTGCCCACACCATGCTGAGTGTTCAGCAGTTTTTGATCAAAAATGGTGTGACCCCAGTACCCCACCGCTCCTATTCACCCAATCTCACCTCAAGAGACTTTTTTTGTTTCCCTGGGTGAAAAGAAGTCCTCAAAGGGAAACATTTTGCCTATGTGGAAGAAGTAAAATAAAAAATGGCAGAAGCACTAAAAGGCATCAAAATCGATGAGTTAAAAAACTCTTTTGAGCAGTGGAAAATACATCTCAATAGGTGTATTGTGCCAAATGGAGAGTACTTTGAAGGTGACTGAAGTTTAAACATGTAAGAATAATACACAATTTTTTATAAATAAATTCTGGCTTTTTGAGGTCCCTCCTTGTAGCTGTACATTTATCTCCAGGAACTACTAGTATCCTTTGCAGTATCCTTCGACTCCACTGTGCCTTATAAACCCTGAGCCCAAGCTTCCTACCACATTTGTTGCTGAATTCTGCTAGTGTATCTACCACTACCAGAGCCTGATCATCCAAATCAGTACAGAGCCAGAGAGGCTAGTCATGGTGACCTCTAGTTTAACTGTTAACCACAATTCCCTATATAGAGCTACAAGAAGAAGCTCTTACAAAAAATTGCAGGTTGCCTGAAAGGCAAGCCATATTTGTAAATAGCCTGTTAGTGAGAGTTTCATAACTCCCCACGTTGTCAGATTCATGTTCAGATGAATTGCCATGCCAGGCAGGAGAGGGGATGTTAGAATGAGGATTGAAGTCATTTTATTTATTCAGTAAATACTTGTCCTCTGTTCAGAGAACTATGGTAAGAACTAAAATACAAAGGTAAATAAAATGTGGAACCTTGCTTCATGAAACTTTTGGTATAGTGACAAGAGTACAATTCCAGCACTAAATTGAGATGCTATGAAAGCAACAAAGGGAGAAGCTATTAGCTATTAGTTCCCTAGGGAGAGTTAGGAAGAAGGGCTTTGCAAAGAAGAGATGCTTGAGGTGGGTCCTATAGGAAGAATAGGTATTTGTCACAAAAATGAGTGTAGTTATAAGCAGAACACATCCAAATTCACGGCCCGGAAAAATAGAACCAAGGCACAATTTAGTAACCTGTGGGTAGTTTAGGAATGAAGATGTGAAGTTGTAAGCAATAAAAGAATTTTGAAGAGCAGAAAGGGCCAGAATGCAGAAATCATTGAATGCCAGGTAGCGGAATTTAGATATCCTGGGGCAGTGTGAAGCCCCCAAAAGGATTTAAGCTAGAAGTTACAAGATTAAAATTGAGTTGTAGAAAAATCCCCACTGATATGGAGTACTACCTGGTTGTAACATCTGGGCCCCTTGAAAAATTAAAATACTCGTTTTAGCCCTGCCAGGGTAGCTAAAGGTTGTGGGTTTGACCCCTGGTAAGGGCACATACAAGAAGCAACCAATGACTGCAGAAATAAGTAGAATAACAAGTCTATATTTCTCCCCCTCTGTCTCGCTGTCTCTCCCGACACCTGCCCCACTTCCTCTAAAATCAATAAGTAAAAATATTTCAAATATATTACAGTTTAAAAGGTCATAACTCAAAATCTGTCTCTTTATTTGGATTTTCCTCTCACTGAAGCACTGTTCTGATATGGAATTATTCAGCCAAAAACAATACCGCTAATAAAGGGTAACGTCTTCCTCAGGTTTTAGGGTCTGAGCTGAGAGATGATTTTTCTTTGTTTGATTTCAGGATCACCATCCATCTCAGCAGGGCCAAGGCGGGTTACATGGAATCTATCTAAGGGCCTTCTGCACAGGACTGGACTCAATTTTGCAGCCTTATCGACAAGCACTGCTTGATTTGGAACAAGAGGTGAGAGGGGACATATGGGAACAACACCTCTGGGACAGCAGAGTAAGCCACGTTTTTGAATTTGAAATTCCCTTTGATATGGTCAGGTAATTAGAAGTAAGCTAGTTTCTGTGCGGCTGGGGAGTACAGTGTATTCTCTGTGGTTGTCCAAGCCATGGTCAAAGTGGTGTGCAGATCATGGCAAAAGGAGTGAGTATATAAGAGCTCTATCTTTGATTTTATCGCCTGAAAATCAGAATTAATAATCTTCTATAAATCATCAATTCTCAATAGCCTAAAACTAACACTACGCTCATTCTCAGATTTCCTTCTAGTTTTCATAGATCAAGTAAATTCAAGATATTTTGTATGGACCTCTAATCACAGTGTTTTTTGTTGCAGTTCCTGGCTGACCCCCATCTCTCCATATCACATGTCAATTATTCCTTAGATCAGGTATGCTGCTCAAGTGACAAAATGCCTTGGAATCTGTTAATATTGGGGTAGAATAATATAACTTAGGACATTTTTTGAGAACTTTTTTCCTTCTGGATTTAGAACCCAGAATTGTATATTTTATATGCTTTCCTAGATCAGAACTGTTTGGAAAGTTCCAAATTTAGTTAAAACTTAATGTCTGATCTTACTGCTCTAAATTGACCTCAGTGTTGATGATTATGCTAGCCTCAGAAATAGAAACTGCTTCTATCTGCCATTCTCTTTCTATTTGCCACCAACACCTATCAAATTCCTTTAAGATAGTGGATCTTGGCTGGTCCATGATATTGCCATCTTTATGTTAAGTGGGACTATTTAGAAATAAAAGCATTTCCTAAAGTAATTTTTTCCTTGTATTTGATAGACCCTCCTAATTATTCTCTACTTTGCAGTTCCAGCTCCTTTTTCCCTCTGTGATGGTTGTAGTAGAACAAATTAAAAGTCAAAAGGTGAGAACTATCCTTTTTCATTTTGCTCTGGTAAGCAACAAGGAAATTCTCTTAATTAACTTTGCCTTGCATTATTTTTTTTTGAAGACCCTAGATTCTAGTAGTTTTTACTAATTTATTTATTCAACAATATCTGCTTGGGTATTATGCTGTGTCAGGAATGCAAAAATAAATTATGACTTTACCTTTAGCACCCCTTGGTCTAGAAGATGAGGGACATTTTAATAGCCATACCCCAGAAAGCTGCTGGGTAACAGAAAAATGCTATGGATATTTAAAAGGTGACAGCTTTTTGCACTAAGGATTGGAACTGTTGGATATGGATCTTAAGGAAGAGCTAAAAGTTAATCCTTAGGAAAAAAGAAAGTAATAGTTTTATGTTAGGGTACTGACAGTTTTCTGAGAATTAGACCATTGGGTAAAACCCAGATGTTTATTAGTTAAATATGTCAATTTTCATCACACATTTTTATCAAATGCATTGAAAAGTGGGGCCTAAGAATTTATATTTCTTGTAAGTTCCTAGGCGCTGCTGCTGCTGCTGCTGCTGGAGGTGGGGTTGGATGGAGAGGGGTGGGGAAGCTGTAGAGTTCATACTTTGAGAATAACTATTGTGATATTGTGGTTTATAATAAGAATATATTTTTGGTCTTCATATTGTTTCTGGCACAGAGTCCTCAAAACCCTTGGAATTTCCTAAGTGTTAAGAGTGATAATGTTGTCTTGATATTCATAAGAAATCCCTGTCAACCACACTTCAGTTGTTAATGGGTTGACTTTTGGACAGCACTTAAGGATGGGGACTTGTTGCCAGGGGGACCAACCTTGTGATTGGAGGGTTGGAACTTTCACCCCCAACCTCTGGGTGTGAGGGAGGGCTGGAAATTGAGTTGTCACCAGTGCCCAGTGATTTAATCTACTGGGTCTATGTAATGAAGCTTCTGTAAAACCCCAAAATGGCAGGGTTTGGACAACTTCCAGTCTGGTGAACCAGAATGATTCTATGTATTTTCATCTGGTGGTTGATTTGTACCATTTGATATCCTTGTTCACAAAACACCTGTGATCAAGTGATAACCGTGTTTCCTGAGCTCTGTGAGTCACTCTAGCAAATTAATTGAACCCAAGGAATGGATTGTGGGAGCCTCTAATGTATAGCCAGTTAGTCAGAAGCACAGCAACAACCTGGGCTTGTGACTGGCATCTGAAATGGAGGATGGTCTTGTGGGACTAAGCCTTTAACCTGTGGAATCTGATGCTATCTCAGGGTACACTCAGAATTAAGTCAAAATGTAGGACACCCCTGCTGGTGTCCAAGAATTGCTTGGTGGTATGAGGAAAACCGCACACACATTGGAATTGTAGTCAGAATCGGAACTATACCTAGATCTTATGAGGAAGTTTATCCTGATCCTCTGCTGGATTGAATACAGAATATGAGTTTGTGCTACATGAACTATTAAAATGGAATACAATTTGAAAAGGCTGTATTTTCCACAGATTCATGGTTGCCAAATCCTGGAAACTGTATATAAACACAGCCGTGGAGGTTTGCCTCCTGTTCGAAGTGCACTAGAAAAGTAAGTCATGATTCAGTTAGAGGTTAGGGGTCCAGGGGAGGGGTGGTCAAGTGACTTGACTGTGAACATGTTTTACTTTCAGGTCATCTCAGGTTTCCCTCTGGGGAAGGGTATGACCAGGATAGAAAAGATCCATGAGCAAGGAGTGCATGTAATCCTTATGGTGGCTCAGAAATTGCAAAAAAAAAAAAACCCAAAAACCAAGGTTATAAAGTACTGAGTGTCAAAGCTAGAATCTAGTTGCCTAGATGCCCTTGAGGCCATACTTTAAATTTTTGGATCTCATCATCTTGGGAGAATTTCCATTACATGTGCCAGATAATACCTAGCTATGTCTAAACTTGTATATTTTGAGTCGCTGGTATTTTCACATTGAGGTCCTTAAAAATGTTTATACTTTATAATCCCATAATGCCACTCTTAGGAATTCCATCCTAACAGAATTTTTTAAAAGAAGAAAATAACCATATGCACAAACATTATTCATTGCAATGTTGTATAGTATATCAAGAAATTAGAAAATCACCAGCAGCACAAGAAAGCTGAATAAAGATGTAGTCACTTGATAGACTATGATGTCATTAACACTGTAAATGCTATAACAACATGTAAAAATATTTTTTATAATGCTAATTGGAAAAAAAGCAAAATTATGTCTGATAACAACTATATTAAATGTATACAGAGTTTCATCAAAGATTGTTCTTTTTTTTTAAAGATTTTATTTATTTTTAGAGAAGGGAAGGGAGGGAGAAAGAGAGGGAGAGAAACATCAACACCTGGTTGCCTCTCAAGTGCCCCTTACTGGGGAACCTGGCCCACAACCCAGGATGTACCCTGACTGGGAATTGAACCAGCAACCCTTTGGTTCACAGGCCAGCTCCCAGTCCACTGCGCCATACCAGCCAGGGCAAAGACTCCTTATTTGGTCTTCCTAGTCTCCTCTTCCTCCTCATTTTTTGAAAAGAGGGTGTGGGACACCCTAGCTGGTGTGGCTCAGTGGATTGAGCACCGGCCTGCAAACCAAATGGTCACTGGTTCGATTCCCAGTTAGGGCACATGCCTGGGTTGCAGGCCAGGTCCCCATCAGGGGGTGCATGAAATATAACCACACATTGATATTTCTCTCCCTCTCTTTCTCCCTCTCTTCCCCTCTCTAAAAATAAATAAATAAAATCTTTAAAAGAAAAGAGGGTGTGGAGGAAAAAACAGGGTGTGGCATTGATTTCAAAACTGGAATCAATGATCTCCAAGGCCCCTCAGAACTCTTAACAATCTCCACTTTAATTACTGCACAAGTAAGTAGTCAGAAGAGCAGGAAATTTTCCAGAATATTCTTTAAGGACTTAATTCTCTATTACTGTGCTTTTTTTCCCTAAAAGAAGTGAATTTTGATTATAGAAAATGAGGACATGCAGAGAGGAAATAAAAAAATACCTGTAGTCACAGTCTCTTGAGATACCCAATTCAACTTCTGCTGTATATCCTAGTTTCTCTCTACATAAATATACTGTATAGTTTTATATATTGAATATATAATGTTATATAAATACTATGATATATACATGTTTGTTACATATTTGCAGGGACCAAATTTTACTGACCACATACTATGATGTGCAAAATTTAACTGCCTTTCTATTTAATTTCTTAAAGAGCAATTCCATTAAATTAGCATTCTACAAATAGCAAACTTCATCTCTTTCAGTTTCTTTTTCTTCCCAAGTTATTTTGAAAAATTTCAATTCTACAAAAATGTTGAAAGAACTATGCAGTAAACACCCGTAGAGCCTTTAATTTCACCAGTTAACATTTTGCCACCTTTGATTTATCTTTTTCTTTCTTCCTCTATGTAAACTCTGAGATATATATGTAAATATATGTATAAACACACACACACGCATGCTTACCACAGTTTTTTGGTGAATGATTTGTAAGTGGTCACAGATACCATAACACTTAACCCCTTAATATGTTAGCTTGTATCTCTTTAGAAAAAGGTCATTCTCTTATATAACCTCAACACCATATTATTCCCAAGAAAGTTAACATTAACTCAACAATGTGATATGCAAAATACATCTGAATTTCATCAGTTTACCTCCAAAAGTTCTTTATAGCTGTTCTTTTTTTTGCAGTCCAGGATCCAATCAGTGTTCACACATTGCATTTGGTTGTCATGTCTATTTAGTCTCATTTAATTTGGAATACTCCCCTTCATTGACTTGTTTTTAAAAAATCTTTGATGACTGACATTTTAAGAGTTCTGACCAATTGTCTTGAAGAGTGTTCCACAGTCTGGATTTTTCTGCTTATCTCCTCACGATTATATTTGGGTTAAACATTTTTTGCAATAGTGCTACATGAGTCATGTTATTTCCTATTGCATCATTTTGTAAGGCACAGAAAGTAAGTTTGTCCCATTACTGGTGTTGTAAAGTTTGCTCACTTGATTGAGGGACGTTTTCCTCTTTGTATTTAATATGTTATCTGGGAGTGATCCTTTTAGGCCACGTGAATATCCCATTCTCCAACAACCTTTCTGCATTGTTTTAGTTTCTGCATTTTGTTGGATAATAACAGGCAGGTATGCCTGCCTGTTACATATCGACTCTACTCTTCCTGTGTGATTCCAACAAAAATAAAACAAATTTAATACTGTGTTAGCCAAAGAGGTATTCCTATAAGTCCACTTAATTTTAACAGGAGTACCTGTGTTAAAACTTATATTACACAAAAGGAGGAAAGAAAATGTGCTTCTCCTAAAAGACTATCAGAACATTCACTGAACATTTCAGACTTCAGTATGGAGGCACCAAGTTGGGAAATTTAATCAGTTAGTCCAGCCACAAACATTTACATTAAAATACCACAATTGTTTTTATCTTAGTTGGTCATTTCCCTTGACTCATCAACCTCTCAGGTGTCTGTTTATCCTGTAACAGTTTAAAGTATGTCCTCTGTGCCATTGTGGGGCTTAGTGTTCTTTAAGTGGACTTCTAAAGCTCTTGCTTTTTCTCCCAACTCAGAATCCTGGCCGTGTGTCACGGGGTCATGTATAAGCAGCTCTCAGCCTGGATGCTACATGGACTCCTCTTGGACCAGCATGAAGAGTTCTTTATCAAACAGGGTCCATCTTCTGGTAATGTCAATGCCCAGCCAGAAGAGGATGAGGAGGATCTGGGTATTGGGGGACTGACAGGAAAACAGCTGAAAGAGCTCCAGGACTTGGTGAGAGCACAGCAAGAAGCCTAGCATACTCTTGCCAGGAAGCAGAAAAAACTACAGCTGAATGTTCTTTTGGTGATCCTTCCACTCCGCTCCAAGTTCATCAAAGCCAGGGCACCTTCCGTAAACTCTTTAGATATAAATGCTTGTCTTTATGTTAGCTTAATACTTTAAAACTTAAACTTAATGCCTAACTTAACGTGAGACTACAAAACAAAATACATTTGTGAGGTTCCTTTTGTTTCCCCTTTTCCCAATATATGCTTTTAAGAGGTTAATAATAAATCTTGTTCCTTATGGTAGTCTTGTAGCTACCCTGTAGTATTTAAATGCAGTTTGGAGTTTTGATTAGACTTCCCAAAGTCTTCTCTTGTCCTTATTCATCCATTCATCTATCCTGTTACAACATTTTATCAAATGCCTGTTATGTGCCAGGCACTGTTCTAGGTGCCACACCTACATAGACAAATAATATGTAGTAGTCCCTGTCCTTAAAGAGCTTATAGTTTAGTGGAAGATATAAGTAAACAGTAACATCACAGTGTACTAAGTGCTCTGGAAAGGATAAGTACAAGTGTTCTCAGAACTTGGCCTTAGAGTAACTAGAGAAGGCTTTTCAGTGGAATATATGGCCAAATTGCAGAGTTTGGGAGGAGAGGTCAAGAAATGGTCCAGGCATGTGTGTAAATGTTTCAGGAAGGATGTATGTAAAGTACAGAGCCCATGATGGCCATGACTCATTTGGGGAACCATTAGTAATTCAGTTGAAATGGTTAAGTAAAGACTGAAGTATCATATAAGGGACAGTAGAGGAGGTGGGGGAAGTGGCAATCAATGAAGCTGTTGAGTTAAGCAGAGGTAAGATCATGAAGGCCCTTATAAACAATGGGAAGGAGTTTGGACTTAACTCTGAAAAGAGCTGGGAGCCAGTGAAGAATTTTAGGCAAGAGGTTAATACAATCAGACATTATGATAGATCACTCTGGATATGTGGGGAATCATTTATTTTTTTAAAAAATCAAGATTCACTGTAGGTAGGTCAGTTAGGAGAATGCCGAGGACACTTAGGTGAAAAATAATAATGGCCTAAATCAAGGGTGTTAACAGTAAATAATAGAGAAAATAGAGTCTTGAGAAAGATTTAGGGAGTAGAAAGTAGGTCTTAGTGGTTGATTGGATATGGGTCCAGGGGGAAAAATCAAGGATGATACCTAAGTGCCTGCGTTCAGCAGCTAGGCAAGCAGTGATGATAACTATGTATTGCTCGTATTGGAAGAAAGAAGATGGGTCTAATTTTGGACATGTTGCACTTAAGGTGACATGTAGGAAATGTCTAGTGGGCTGAGGCTAGAGCTCATGAGAGCAATCTAGCTTAAAGGTAAAGATTTAGAAGTTATCAGCATTAGAAGTATTTAATCTGGGGCCCACATAGGACTTCAGGAGGTTCTGTGAAATGTATGTTTGTATGTATATCTGGAAGCTTTTATAATTATGGAGAATCCTGTGATGCAACAAGACAAAATATCTTATGGTGAAAAAGTCAGCCACTAAAGATGTGATTGTTGTTGAAGAGGATGGAGAGCAAAAGGAACAGGGTTTGGAATAGTGCCCAGAGAAATACCAGCTCTGAAGCCCAAAACAAAGAGGGCAAACAGCAGAGATCAAAGCCAGGATCACTGAGTCTGTTGGAACTAGATATGGGTCAAATCAAAAGCAAGTCAGGGAATGAGGGTGCTGAGTGATCGGGTAGTGGGCATCTGGGGCTTTTTGGGCTAGATCAGTGGTTCTGAGACCTCACTGTTCATCAGAATCCATTTTAATCACACTGTTAAAATGGATTGCTAGGCCTCATTGCCCAGTTTTTCTGTAGATCTGGGAAGGGGCTTGAAAATTTGCATTTCTAACAAGCTCCCAGTGAAGCTGCTTTTGTTGGTTCAGGAGCCACACTGAGAATCGCTTAGCTATATGACTTGGGGCTGGTGTAAGAGCTGGGCAGAGCAGAAATATACACAAGATAATAAAATCATAGATGTGTAGACTTGGAAAAAATACAGACCAATTATTCCATGATACAAGTTAGGAAACAGTTCCAGATCTACTGCACAAGCTTTTACAGTAGTAAAGGCAGAGTGTGGACAAAAATCCTAATGTTAAAAAAAAAAGTTCCCACCATGCTCTCCTGCTGCTTGAAAATGGAGTATATCTCTCTAATACTAGTAACTTAAAAATTATGCCACTTCAGATTTAAAGTTCCTGTTTTTAGAAAATATAAATTTTGGGTTTAGGATGTTTTGTTGTTTTCCCTTTCTTCACACATCACCTCTGATATGGATTATTTCCTTGACCAGCGCCTGATAGAGGAAGAGAACATGCTGGCACCATCTCTAAAGCAGTTCTCCCTGCGAGTAGAGATTCTGCCATCCTACATTCCAGTGAGGGTTGCTGAAAAAATCCTGTTTGTTGGGGAATCTGTTCAGATGTTTGAGAATCAGAATGTCAACCTGACTAGAAAAGGTAGGACTCTCCTTGCACAATGTACACCATTCTTAAAGGCCCTTTTTTTAAAATGATTTTATTTGCTTTTTAGAGAAAGGGGAAGGGAGGAGAAAGAGAGAGGGAAAGAAACACTTATTGGTTGCCTGTCCCACACCCCCACCCAGGGACCTGGCCCACAACCCAGGCAATGTGCCCTGACCAGGAATTGCACCAGCAACCTTTTGTCTTGTGGGACTATGCCTGACCCACTGAGCGACACCAGTCAAGACCTTAAAGGTCCTTCTTGATATCTTCGGCCCCAAAGTATGCCTGGTCAGAGTGAGTGGCTAGTCATGTTTGTGTAATGACATTTCAGCACAACCGTGATGTGTTTGCCCGAAGCAGATGAAGGAGCTGCACCACCATGGCTGGGAATCCTTGCCTGCCCCGGTGGTTCTCTGTTTCCTGTGACAGTACCTTCCTGTTTTGCAGGATCCATTTTGAAAAACCAGGAGGACACTTTTGCTGCAGAGCTGCATCGTCTCAAGCAGCAGCCGCTCTTCAGCCTGGTGGATTTTGAGCAGGTGGTGGATCGTATTCGCAGCACTGTGGCTGAGGTTTGTCTTTTATTGTATATTTTCTTAGGAAGAAAGTGGACTGATTTCCCCAGAAATTGAATGCTTGACTTTTGTTTCTTCTTAATGTGGTAAGAACTTAGTTGGAAAGAAATGTTTGAGAGAATTGAAGGACAAAAAGAAAATGAAAGCATTCTCTTTGTTCTTAATAATAGAGGCAGAATTGCCTAAGCTTTTTCACACCTGACAGGAGTTTGCTTGTTAGTTAATTAGTCAATTGAATAAAGGGAGGTCTTGGTTTTATTTGATTTTGACGCCATCGATAATACAGAGGTTGGCAATAACTCAAGTTAGTGCCTTATAGAATGGCCTTATTACTTATTCTGTCATTTGTGGATATGATAGTCCCGGGGAAGGGAGAACAAATATAATTTTTCTATTCCTATAGACTAAATTTAGTGCCTTATTTACATTTTAAAATGGCCTTACTACTTATTCTGTCATTTGTGATATGATACCCCTGAGGAAGGGAGAACGAGTATAATTTTTCCATTCTTATATATGGAAAAAAAAACTCAAAAAGCTAACTTGTCTGGCATTGCACAGTAAGTAACAAAGATGAGATCAGAAACAGCTCTTTTGACTTCTGCCTAGTCCAGTGTTCTTATATGAATAATGATCAGTAATTTTTCTTTTTAAATTTTATTTATTTATTTTTAGAGAGAGGGGAAGGGAGAAAGAGAGGGAGAGCAATGTGCGGTTGCCTCTCATTCGCCCCCCACTGGGGACCTGGTCCACCTCCCAGGCATGTGCCCTGACTGGGAAGCAACCGGCAACCCTTTGGTTCACAGGTCGGCACTCAATCCACTGAGCAACACCAGCCAGGGCTCAGTAATTTTTTCAAATGGGTGTATGTTCCTTGGCGTATGATAAAACTTGGCTCACAAGTATATGGTAACAAGAAATGAGATCTTTAGTTAGTCAACTCTGCTGTTAACTATGTTAGTGGTTTTCAACTCTGGCTGTGCATAGAATCACCTGTGGAAATCTTAAAATGTACTTGGACCAAGTCCTTACCTCCAGAGCTTCTGATCTGTAAGCCAGGAGGGAGTAGGTACTTGTATTTATTGCTTTGACTTTGTCCCAAGAGTTTTTGGCCTATGGTAGTGTTTTCATTATCATTCTAAGAAATTTTAAATTTTCTTTATGATTTTCTTTTTAACCCAAAGAATTTATTAATTTTTAGTTTAATTATTCTGTAGTTGGAGGATATAGCTTGTATATTAGTCCTTTGGAATTTATTGAGGCTCTTTAATGGACTCTTAGCAGATCTGTTTTTTCTTTCTAATTGCTTGCCATGTGCCCAGAGAATGTATATTCTGAGTCTAGAGTTCTATGTATGTTGTAATTCCTCACTTTCAGGTTATATGTTAGATATGTGCATATTTGTTAGGAACATATATTGTTATTTTTTATGTATACACAATGTCCTCTTTATCACATACATTTGTATATGTGTATAGTATATTTTGACTTCAATTCTATTAGTTATTAAGATCACTATACATATTTCTTTCAGGTCACAGTTACCTGATATGTCTTCTTCCTTCTTTTATTTTCAACTTTTCCATGTGCTTTAATCCCATCCTTCTTGCCCTGCCTCTCCCAAGCAACCACTAATCTGTCATATAACCTGTCACTATAGATTAGTGGGCATTTTCTAGGTTTTGTATGAATAGAATCAAACAATATGTATTCTTTTTTGGTGAGAGGTGAGTCAGGCTTCTTTTACTCAGCATAATTATTTTGAGATTAATCCATGTTGTGTGTATCAACAGTTTATTCCTTTTTTTCTTAGCTTACACAGGATACTCATATAAACATTAATATGTCATTTTAAACACTTCTCTAACTATATTATAGAAGAGCTGTCAGATCCATTCACTGAAATAGCACTCTTCTCCAGGTATTCTACACATGTCCTGGTTTGGTAGTGCAGTTGGTCCACATACTCCAAGGTTGCAAGTTCAATCTCCAGTCAAGGCACATGAAATAATCAATCACTGAATGCATAAATGTGGGAAAACAAATCAGTGTTTCTCTCTCTCTCCATTCTTCACTCTCTAAAATCCATAAATAAAAAAAAAATTAAGTATCCTAAACATAAGATTCTTTTCTAAAATTTTTCAATTACAGTTGACATACAATATGTTACTTTCAGGTATACAACAGTGATTAGACACTTATATAGCTTACTAAGTGATCGCCCTGACAAATCTACCGCCCATCTGGCACCATGCACAGTTATTACAATATTAACTATGTTCCCTATAGTACACTTTATTTCCTCATGACTATTTTTATAATTGCCTATTTGTACATCTTAATCCCTTCCCCTTTTCACCCATCCTTTCAACTACCTTTCCATTTGGCACCCATCAATTTGTCCTCTGTATCTATTAGTTTGTTTCTGTACTACTTGTTCATTTTTGTGTTTTAGATTCCACATTTAAGTGAAATCAAATCATGTTGTATTTGTCTTCCTCTGTCTGGCTTATTTCATTTAGCATAATACCCTCTGAGATGTTCATCCATGTTGTCACAAATGGCAGGACTTCATTCTTTTTTATGGCTGAGTAATAATTCCATTCATCTGGCAGTGGGCAGTTAGGTCGCTTCCCTGTCTTGGCTATTGTAAATAATCCTGTAATGAACACAAGGGTGCATATATCTTTTTGAATTAGTGTTTCAGATTTCCTCAGGTAAATACCTGGCAGTGCAATAGCTGGGTCAGATGATAGTTCTATTTTTCAATTTTTTGCGGAACCTGTACTTCATACTATTATCCATAGTGGCTGAACTAACTTATATTCCCACTAACAGAATACAAAGATTTTCTTTTCTCCACATTCTCATCAACACATTATTTCTTATCTTCTTGATGATAGCCATTTTATTTTTTGATCTTTTAATTCAAATTTTATTCTTTATGCTATTACAGCGGTCCCAACTCCCCCTTTGCCCCCCTTCTCCCAGAATCCCCCACTCCCTCAGGCAATCCCCACACCATTGTCCATGTCCATGGGTCATGCATATATATTTCTTTGGCTACTCTATTCCCTATACTGTATTTTACATCCCCAAAACTATTCTGTAAAAATCAATTTGTACATCTTAATCTCTTCACTATTTTTACCCATCCCCCCTACCTCCCTCCCATCTGGTAACCATCAAAACATTCTCTGTACTATGATTCTGTTTCTGTTCTGCTTGTTCATTTATTTTGTTTTTTAGATTCAATTATTGATAGATTGTATTTGTTGCCATTTTAGTGTTCATATTTTTTTTTCTTCTTCTTCAAGAAGACCCTTTAACATTTCATAGTATTGGTGATGATGAACTCCTGTAGCTTTTTCTTATCTGGGAAGCTCTTTATCTGTCCTTTGATTCTAAATAATTGCTTTGCTGGATAGAGTAATCTTGGTTGTAGGTCCTTGCTTTTCATCACTTTGAATATTTCTTGCTTCTGGCGCGCAAAATTTCTATTGAGAAATCAACTGAGAATCTTATTGGAGCTCCCTTGTAGGTAACTAACTGCATTTTTCTTGCTGCTTTTAAAATTCTCTTTTGTCTTTAACCTTTGGCATTTTAATTGTGATGTGTCTTGGTGTGGGCCTTTTTGGGTTCATCTTGTTTGGGATCATGGCCATTTTAACAGGTGTGAGGTTATATCTCATTCTAGTTTTGATTTGCATTTTCCTGCTGATTAATAATCTTTATAAGTTCCTGTTGGCCATTTGGATATTTTCTTGGGAAAAATGTCTATTTAGTTCCTCTGCCCATTTGTTAATTGGGTTGAGGATATTTCGTTATTGAGTTTATGAGTTTTATTAATATACCTTCAATATTAACTCCTTATCAGATATATGGTTTGCATGTATTTTTTTCTCATTCTGTAGGTGCCTTTTCATTTTGTTGATTATTCTTTTTAACTGATTTTTAGAGAGAGGGAGAGAGAGACATCGATTTGTTGTTTCACTTATTTATGCATTCATTCATTGATTCTTGTATGTGCCCTGATGAGGGATTGAACCTGCAACCTTGGTGTCTCAGGATGATGCTCTAACCACCAGAGCTACCCAGCCAGGGTGATTATTTCTTTTTCTGGGCAGAAGCTTTTCAGTTTGTTGTAGTTCCACTTGTTTTTTGCTTTGTTGTTTGTGATTTTGGTGTCATATTAAAAAAATCATTGCTGAGACAAATGTCAAGGAGTTTCTTCCCTCTATTTTCTTCTGTGAACTTTATATAGTAGGTCTTATGTTTAAGTCATTGATCCATTTTGAGTTAATTATTGTGTATGGTGTAAAATGGGAGTCCAATTTTATTTTTATGCATGTGTCTATCCAGTTTTCACAGAACCATTTATTGAAAAGACAATCCTTTCCTCTTTGGATGTTCTTGGTCCCCTTGTCAAATCTTTGGTCCATTTTTATTGTTTTTGTTATGTTTTCTTACTGTTGGGTTTCAAAAATCTGTATGCTAGTTATATGTGGGGACTTAAATCTTTTTTTTTAAAGATTTTATTCATTTATTTATTTTTAGAGAAACAGGAAGGGAGGCAGAAAGAGAGGGAGAAAAACATCAATATGTGGGTTGCCTCTCACACCCCAACTAGGGATCTGACCTGAACATAGGCATGTGCCCTGACTGGGTATTGAACCAGCAACCTTTCAGTTCACAGGCCAGCACTCAATCCACTGAGTCACACCAGCCAGGGCAGGGGTATTTAATTCTGAGCTTTCTGTTCTGTTCCATTGGTTTCTGTCTTTGTTTATGCCAGTACCATATTTTTTAAATTACTGTAGCTTTGTGATATAGTTTGAAATTAAAATGTATGATACCTATGACTATGTTCTTCTTTGTTAGGATGGCTTTGACTATTTGGGGTCTTCTGTGGTTCCATACAAATCATATCATTGTTTTTTCTATTTCTCTGAAGAATACCTTTAGAATTTTGATAGGGATTACATTGAATCTATATATTACTTTAGGTAATATGGATATTTTAACTATTGATTTTTCTGATCCATGAATATGGAATGCCCTTCAGTTTGTGCCATCTTTGATTTCTTTCAACAACATCTTGTGGTTTTTGTTGTATATGTCTTTCACTTCCTTGGTTAACTTTATTCTTTTACTTAGCATAATTGAGATTAATCCATGTTGCATGCAATCCATATTTATTCCTTTTTATTACTGAGTAATACCCCATTGTTCATACCAATATGCTTTCCTTTCATCTGTTGAAAAATATTTGGATTGTTCCCTCATAGTAGTTTTAATTTGCATTCCCCTAATGACTGATGGTGGTTTTTTTGTAAGTTTATTTGCATGCATATATCTTCTTTGGTAAAGTGTCTGTTCAAATCTTTGGTCCATTTTTATTGTTTTTGTTTTGTTTTGTTTTGTTTTCTTACTGTTGGATTTCAAGAATTCTGTATTCTAGTTTTAAGTCCTTTGATATGGGACTTACAAATATTTTCTCCCAGTCTATGAAGCCTTCTCATTCTCTTAACACTGTCTTTCAAAGAGCAGAAGTTAATTTTTATTAAATCCAATTTATCAATTTTTATTCTTTTATGGTTCTTGCTTTTGGCATTGTACCTAAGAAACCGTTGCTTAACCCAAGATCACAAAGATTTTCTCCTTTGTTTTCCTCTGAAAAAATGTATAGTTTTCAGTTTTACTATTATGTTTGTGATCATTTTGGTTTAATTTTTTATGTAGTGCAAGGTATGAATCAATCAACTTTTAATTTTTTGCATGTAGATATCCAATTGTTCTAGCAACTTTTTTAAAAATTTCTTTTGTGTATTTATGTTGCTACTATTCTTACCTCTTTAAGCATGTTTATCAAGAGTATTTAAAATTTCTGGTGTGTTTCATAGGTCAGATTTCCCAGGAAACAGGTTCTGAGACTAAAATTGGTAGCAAGGAATGAGGGAAATGGAATTGAGCAGAGAGAGAAGGCAAACTGTGGTGTAGTTGCAACAGAAGCTTTGGCCAATCCTACACAGAGTTCTGAAGCTATAATAGCCCTTCAGAAGTGTCCTAAATTGAGGTTCGAGGGCTGTGCACTTGTACATCTGCATCAGAAATTGGATGTGGACTCTTCTCACGGAGAAGAACCATCAATGAGGAAGCTCCCTTTAGCCAAAGTCAATTCCTGGAAGCTCAACATCAGGCAATACTCCCAATAGCTGGGGTAATGAAGACAGGGGAGATATGGGTGACATACTATAGAATCCACTCTATTGTAAAACTTCTGCTTCACATGGTATGTGTTGTCTAGTCTGTTGTGTTGTTTTTTTTTTTTTACTCTTCACATGTCTAGTTATTTTGACCTGTGTGCTTATGTTTCCCGGGGCATGTCAGCTACTTTGTCTATTAATGTGCATTAGAGAGGGTCACAGACCAGTTCTTAATCTATGTTAGTTCCAGTAAGAGAGAGGAGGGAATCAGTCCCAGGGTGGAGATTCTGCACACCCTGAATCAGTGCTGATCACTTCACTGAACAAATCCTTTTCATGATTTTACCTGATACTGGTAATGGTTATGTAGTTGATTTCTGAATATTAATCCTCAACCTTGCTGAATTCTCTTACTAAAGTTTTAATAACCTTTGTAACAGTTCTCTTATTCTACGCAGATGATATCATCTGTTAATAATAACAGTTTTATTTCTTCCTTTCCAGTAATATATATTTTTTCTTACTGCATTGGCAAAGTCTTTATATAACTTTGAGTGACTTTAAAAGAATTTCTTATAATGTTTCACCATGAAATGGGGTGTCTGCAGTGGGGTTTTGGGATATACCCTTTCTAAGAATAAGTTTCTTCTATTCCTTGTTTGTTTTTTCCTAAAATCATGAATGGATGTTGACTTTTATGAAACGCTTTTTCTGTATCTATTGATCATACGGTGGTTCTTTTTTGATCTTTAATCTATTAAATACTTATATAAATTTTTAATTTTTTATTGAGATACAATGAACATAACACCATATGAGCCATTTAAAAGTAGTATACGAATTCAGTGATTTTTAGTGTATTCACAGTGTTACATAATCATCACCATTTAATTTCAGAACATTTCCATCTCATGTATCTTGTTTTACTTTAAATTACCTTTTTGTTCCTGGGTTTAACCCAACTTGGTCATCGTTTATATTCTTTTATTCAATACATTATTGGATTTGTACAAAACCATTTTTTACAGAAGTTTTCATTGTAATGAAATTTTGTCTCTCTTTTATTGGTTCTTTTCACAGCATCTCTGGAAGCTGATGGTGGAAGAGTCAGACTTGCTGGGTCAGCTGAAGGTAATCAAAATGATGTTGGTGGGCATTGCCTTCATTCTCTAGCCTCTCCTGCGAACAGGTTGCCTGTACCCAGATTTCTAGAGTATCCTGATATGTCCTCAGGCAAATGTGCCAACTCCACCTAATCCTACAAATTTACTACAGTACAAAACTTTAGGTGTTAACTTTCTTCTAGCGTAATATAACTGTGTTTTCACTGAATAAATGATAACAAAGACACACCAGTCATCCTGCCCTGAGCGATTGCTAAGTATGCCCCTTGGAAATGTCAAAACCCTATTTCCTTTTGTAGGGTAGCTCAAACTGATGAGATCTGGAAATGATATGTGTAATTCCAGTAAGATAGTGAGGAGCTCATGGCCCTGCTGGATTACCAAGTTGTAAATTGAAATTCTTTCTGCAGATCATTAAAGACTTTTATCTTCTGGGACGTGGAGAACTGTTTCAGGCCTTCATTGACACAGCTCAACACATGTTAAAAACACCACCCACTGCAGTAACGGAACATGGTAATTGCCCTGTGGGCCTGAGAATTACCAGTTTACTGAAGGGGTAGGGTATCTCTTGGCTGTTGCTGAACCATTTAGGCCTGCTCCACATCAGAGCAGACTGGTGAGTTATAGAGCAGTGTTTCCAAAGATGGAAAGCCTCTCAGGTTGGCTTCATGCTGAGGATACTGGCAGCAGCCTCTTGGCTGTGACCTTTCCTGGAAGAGTTGATACAGGCCTTCAGACCAGGTATTTTATCTCATCAGATTATAGCCATAGAGGCTTTATGGGACACAGTGGAACTTGTTGCCCTTACTGTATTAAAATTCTTTAGATAGTGATGATGGATGCCTCATCTGAACCAATAACCTGGGTAGAAAAGGGAATATATTTGCTATTATATTTCTTACTCCATGGGGTGGGGAATAGCTGAGCCTCAGAACATCTGAATCTCAGGGCTTGAATTCTCCTAGGATTCTGTCTTAGCATATCTTTTCTGGGCCTCTTGTATACTCTTTGATGGCCTTTCATTCCCATCTGGAAACATGGCCACTTGTTCCTAGGAACATGCCTCACACTGTCTACTGGAGGAACCCGACCTGGTCTCACTGGTAGCAAATTAAAAGATTTCAAGGAAGGGGTTTTGATTAGCCTCGTCTAGATCATATACCTATCCCTGAACCAAAGAGGTCAGACATTAAGATGTGCCTGCTTCAGTAAAATGTTTACCTTTGGCCAATGGGAATGATCACCATTCCCATTCATACTATGTGATGGAGTTGGGTGCGGATGAGAATTAAAAAAATAAAAAAGAAAATGGGGGGAAGGGAGTGAAGACAACATTACTATTTTTCTAGCTCTATAAAACAATAGATGTCCACTTACATAGGACTTTCTGGTTGCAAATAACCCAATTCAAACTCACTTAAACAAAGGGAAAAAATAATTTATTGATTCTTAGAACTGAAAAGTTCAGAGGTATAATAACTTTAGGCAGAGTTTGATCCAGTGGCTCATGTGACACCTTCAGGACTTGGTGTCATTCCATCTTTACCACTGCCTTTCTTCTCAGGCCTATTTCATATGGTGGCAAGATGGCCTCCAACAAAGCTCACATGCTATTTGCTGAGTTCTTGTTTATCTCACACATACACTTTCAGTCTGAAGAGAGCCTTTTAGTTGGCCTGACTTAGGTCATGTTCATAGCCCTAAACAAAACAGTGTATCAGGATAGAATATTGTGTTCCATTTGATCATGCCTAAGTCACCTGCCAACCTGTAGGACCAGGTATTGTCAACTACATGGATTGTACTGGGCAGGGGTGATTCTCCAAGGAAAATCAAGATGTCAGCAAGAGGAGGAGGAAAGCATGCTAGTCAGACAAAAGCAACCAACATCTACTGCATCCCACTAGTATTAGGCAGGCTCAAGAGAGGTGGAAAACTGTTTGTTATGTGGCCAGGCATTCTTGTCAACCTGTGTGTTCCTTGTTACAGATGTGAATGTGGCCTTCCAACAGTCAGCACACAAGGTGTTGCTAGATGATGACAACCTTCTCCCTCTGTTGCACTTGACAATTGAGTACCATGGAAAGGAGCATAAAGGTTTGCCTTCTTTCTTGCATCTTCCTGCTCCTACTGGTCATCATCTGTTCTCTTATCTCTGCTTCCATCCACCTCCACAGAAACCATATCATTTTGGACCTTAGAAACCAGCTTGCCCTAATTTTATATGGAAGAAAAGGGAAGGAAGTCCAGAGAGGCTGAGTGAGGTGTACAGACAGTGGTTTTTGTTTTTGTCATGCCACTAGAATTGTCTGTTTATATCAAGCCTCCAGACTTTAAGGCTGAAAGAACAATCTCTAAAGACCTCCTAAGAGAACTTCACACAGACATTTCCTTGCCTCTCTAAATCTCCTTTCTGTCCCCTTTCTGCTTCTGACACTGAAGCCTGCGTGAGTGCTCATTTCATGAGTGCCACTCACCTATTGAAGCTCTGGTTCCAGATTAGCAAAGTCTAATCTAGACACCCTTCCTTTTCTTCTTGACAGATGCTACTCAGGCCAGAGAAGGTCCTTCTCGGGAAACCTCTCCTCGGGAAGCCCCTGCTTCGGGCTGGGCAGCCCTAGGTCTTTCCTACAAAGTGCAGTGGCCACTGCACATTCTCTTCACTCCTGCTGTCCTGGAAAAGTAAGTATTTCTTGAGTTTCTCACAGGTAAATATGACCCACCTTCCTTCCCTTTCTAGGGAAGAAAGCAGGAATAGAATGGGTGGGAGAACAACAGCCACCAGAATAGCTTTTCAGCTGTCTGTAAATCAGAGGTTGCAAACTCAGATGCCTTCAGGAGCCAGACAGAAAACATTAGTAAGTGAAGCCATCGACATGAGACAGTAGGGAGTGGTGGGCACTGGAGTAAATGAGAAGTTTAAACCCTTAAAACCACCAGAGGTATTTTTTGTTTTGTTTTTGATGGCAAAATAACAAGCAGTTTACAGGCTGCCTGTTATTGACCCCGGCCTTTGATAATTTTATCAGATTGACAAGGTTCCTCCCTAACTTTTCTAATTTTTTTTATATACATGGGAAGACTTTCCAAGATCAAGTGTTTGTTGTGGACTTTAGCCACTGAGGCGATCACCTCCTTATCCCCAGGGAGAGGCAGTGGGGGCAGCCAAGCTGGGTGGAGGGTGGAGTCAAGGAGTGTTAAACCAAGGTGGTAAGACTCTTGGAGCTGCCTTGGTCTTTACCCTGAGAGCCTGCCAAGTGCTGTTCCTCAACTCCATTGGGACCTAATGGCCCTAAACCAGAGGGAAACTAGAGCTCTAGAGAAAGGCAGCAAGAGAAGCATACTTAGCTGCTGGCAGCCTCTGAAATCCATCCCCAAGCCATTTCAGGGATGTCCCAAATCCTAGTACAGGTTCTGGCACTGGCCCCTGGCCTGCTCCAGGATGGAAGCTGTCATGCTCAAGCTAGACGAATGGAGAAGAGGGAAGCAAATGAACCAAAGGGCCTCTTAATCCTCCCTCTTCTTGTTCACAACCCCCTTTACTTTTTGGGGGTAGGGAAGCTTAAGGTATGAGAGACTAGGCATAAACTGGAAAAGATAAGGCTTGTTCAGGGGGAAGACTCTGGCAGGTTTAGAGCCCACAGCCGTAAGAGTCCACTCATCTCTTCACTTAGTATGCTCTTAATACCCTTAAAGAAATCAAACTCAGATGTATTTTGAAAACTTTATTTTTAATTAATTTCTTTTTTTTATTTTTCACATACATTTGTCTCCATTTACCTGCCACCACTTTTTATTGTGAACATTTCCAAATATAAACAAAAGCATGGACTATAATGAACTCCCATGTATACACTATCCCACTTTAGTAACCATCAATATTACAGTACTGGTTTTATCTATCTATCTATCTAATCTATTTGCTAGAGCCTATAAAGCAATCCCAGACGTGTCATTTCACTCCATCACTATGCAATTCAAAAAGGCGTTTTTTTAAACCTAAATACAATGCCATTATCATGCCCAATAAAATTATTAATTCCTTATTATCACATATCCAGTCCATACTGAAACTTCCCCAGTTATCTAAAAGTTCTATTGTTTTTCCCCCTCTGGCTGGGTAGCTCAGTTTGAATGTCATCCCAATATGCCAAGGTTGCAGAACTGATACCCAGTCAGGGCACATATGAGAATCAACCAATGAATGCATAAATAAGTGGAGGAACAAATTGCTGTTTCTTTCTAAAATAAGTGTATATATTTAATACATATTTATATGTATTTTTATATATACATTTATATAAGTAAGTGGAGCACAAATCAGTTTTTCTCTAATATGTGTTTATATTTAATACATATTTATATTATAGAAATGTTTATATTAACATGTATTTATATAAATAAATAAATAAATAAATAAAATGGTTGGGTTTATTCAAATCAGAATCCAAACAAGGTGTACTATTTTCAATATGTTGTTCCATTAGAAATAGATAGTTTTTAGCCCTGACCTGTGTGGCTCAGTGGTTGGGCATCGCCCTGCAAAGTGAAAAGGTCATCAGTTCAATTCCCAGACAGGACACGTGTGCCTGGGTGACAGGCCAGTCCCTGGTTGGGGTGCATGCAAGGGGCAACCAATTAATGTTTCTCTCACACATCGATGTTTCTCTCCCTCTTTTTCTCCCTCTCCTCCCTTCTTTCTACAAATATTTTTTTAAAAATAGGCAATTTTTAAAAACCACGCTGTTCTACTAGGCATCTCCTGCTCCTCTCATGCGTCTTCTCAGTTCAGGGCTCAGCATTAGGCAACTAGCCCCTGAGCTTCCTGTGAGGGGATCTCAGTGAAGGGAGCCCTCGATTTTATTTTCTCTTTTGGCTTCAGGGTCACAAAATCAGATTAACAAAAATCTTTGGTTCCTAACATAATTATCCCTATGGGTCCTTGCAAGACTCTCCTTCTTTCCTTCTAGACATACACATACACACACACACACACACACACTCACACACCAGAAAACCACTTCCCAGCACAAAAACTAGAGCACTGACAATAATGTCCATCTGCCTGTGTGGTCCAATACAGTCCTGCCCCCTTGCCTCCCGCATCCCAGAGAGACCACTATCCTAAATTCCATATTTTTATACATATATATATATTTTATAACATCTCTGTATATATTCCCCCAAAGTATACTTTTTTCCATTAAAAAAAAAAGTTTAAACCACTATAAGAAAGGTATGAGACTATGTGTAATCTTTTATCTTTTTTATGCAAAATATTACTGGGAGTCATTTTGTTGGGTTGTACAGCTGAAGTTCAACTGATGACTATGTAACAGTCCATAATATAAATAAACCAGTTTATTTGTCCACATCTCTAGCCATTCTAATTAACATCCTGCCTTTTGGGGGAGGGGCTAGAGGCACAAAGTCCTAGGGTCTGTCAAGCAGATAGGGGAAGGGAGTGAATTTTTATCTTGCATGGCCTAATGTTTCTGTCCCAGGTACAATGTTGTTTTCAAGTACTTACTGAGCGTGCGCAGGGTACAAGCCGAACTGCAGCACTGCTGGGCCCTCCAGATGCAGCGGAAACACCTCAAGTCCAACCAGACAGACGCAGTCAAGTGGCGCCTAAGAAACCACATGGCATTCTTGGTGGATAATCTTCAGTACTACCTCCAGGTCTGTGCTGACAGATGAGTAGAAGGGATATGAAGAGAAGTCCAGGGCATAGGCAGCAGTTATTGAAGAGGGGCCACAATTCTGCGTTTGGTCAAACACTGGGAGTTTGAGAAAATTCATGATTTTATCACTAGGCATGTTTCTTGGGGGCATTTTAGAGGAGAGTGAAAATAAAAGAGAATGAGGAGTTAGGGTCCTCATCGGCAGTATTTAATTATTTTTTACCCTTTTCCTAATAATTTTTTTATTGATTGATTTTAGGGAGAGAGGAAGAGACAGAGAGAGGGAGGGAGGAACATCACTTTGTTGTCCCACTTCTATATTCATTTGTTGTTTCTTGTATGTGCCCTGACCAGAAATCAAACCTGCAACCTTGGCCTATCAGGATGATGCTCTAACCAACTGAGCTACCAGCTAGGGCTCTACCCTTATTTTCATAGTTTGCTGGAATTTCTGGAATCCTATAGGACCTAACCAAGTCAGTCAGTGGAAGGGACGTGGCATGAGGGGCCTGGGTTGGGGCAGGCAGTGGGGTAGGGAATCTGCCAGGACATTGGAAGCTGTTTAGAATTAGGCAAATAACTTTCTAAAAGGCTAGGTCTTTTAAGGGTGTCTCTGGTCAGCCTTAAAGTGGCTGAGATAAGAAGCAAAGAATTTCTACTATATGTCATCCTGTCAGACATCTTAGTGTCCTTGAGTGCTCAGAATATGCAAGGTGCTAAAATTATTTGTGTAATTGTCTATCAGGTAGATGTGCTGGAGTCTCAGTTCTCACAGCTGCTTCATCAAATCAATTCTACCCGAGACTTTGAAAGCATACGATTGGCTCACGACCACTTCCTGAGCAATTTGCTGGCTCAGTCCTTTATCTTGTTGAAACCGGTAAGTAGGGACTGGTTGGTTTCCTAAGACTGCTTCTAGCCTGGCTGTTCCCTTAAAGTTGCAAGGATATGGAACTATCATTGAGTAATTGTTCACTCTCTGTTTGAAACATTTTTAATAATTTATAAAGTAAAACAAAAGGGAATGTTAAAAGGGGTTGTAAATGTCTTTGAATTTCTGAAATATATCATAGAAAGTGGTGAGCAGCTAGCTATAGATGAAAGAATTAGGTGCTTCACCCTCACAAGGATTTCAAGAAATTTTATAAACCTTTCTGACACCATAGATAGACCAGCGCAAAGCATGTGGAATTTACTTTCCTATCAATCTTTTGGATAAGGATTAGTTGTTTGAAAGTTGGTCTTTCAGCTTTCAACTGGAGTAGTTTCTCCTCTCTAATATGTGTGTGTAGATACATACACATATGTACATATGCATTTCTCCTCCAGGGAAGTTATTCAACTCTGAATCCACATGAAAATCGTCTGGGTGCTTTAAAAAATCTAGGACCCAGAGCACTTAAATTAAGAGTCCCTGGAGTGGGACCCAGGTACCAGCATTCCTTAAAGTGCACAAGCCGATTCCAATTCCAGGAAAAAGACAAGAAGGTTAAAATGACCCCTTGTAGTTTCTACTATCACAGTTACACTTTATCTCTGATGTGAGCTAATTATCATTCCTCAGTTGTGCAGACTACAAGTGCTTACAGACTTCTCTTTTGTCCTGGTATTTGGGCTGTTATTTTTCTGCACTAAGGAAGAGTGAGTTATATAAATGCCACTCCAAAGGGTTCAGTGAATTGAAAGCCACCAAGAACCATTGTGACAGTAGACTGTCTTTGTATGCCATGAGTGCATCCTTAGGGAAATCAGAATCTCAGAGCAGGTGGTCATCACTGAATATTTATTGAATGCTTACTATGCAAGGCACTAGGGATACAAAGAGGTATAAGTCATGGCTCTGCCCTTAAGGAGCTCACAATCTAGTTGGAGAAACAGGACATACACACATATACAGATCAGTAACAACACAGATGGGCTGAACAAATGCAAGGTGAATAGTACAGGTAATACAGAGGAGAGAGAATTAGGTCACTAAAGACTCATGGGGAGGGAGTGCTCCACCAAGGGAGGGAGACCTGGTTTTAGGAGAAGAGCATCCCACACACAGGGAACAACTCTGAAAGCAAAGCTCAAGGCAGGAGCACACACAGTGGGTCCAAGAAATGATGATTAGTTTAATGTGGCTAGAGTGGACATTTTGTGCAGGGGTGATTAAGAGTACAGTAGCATCTTTGCCAGGAAGGGGAGGATTTGTTTTACACATGTTGCATTTGGAGGGATTGGCAAGACTTGCACACAGCATTGTCTCTCCTGAGGTCAGATGTGGGAGCATGAGAATAAGTTAGCTCTTAGATTATTTCCCCAAATCTTTAATTTCATGTATTTTTTCCTAATGCCAGCTCTTATATCCTGGGTAGGTGTTTCACTGCCTGAATGAAATCCTGGATCTCTGTCATAGCTTTTGCTCGTTGGTCAGTCAGAACCTGGGCCCACTGGATGAGCGTGGGGCCGCCCAGCTGAGCATCCTGGTGAAGGTGAGTCTGCCTGGCATTCCCCCAGTATATACACAGAGAAATAACAAGATACAAATTTAAAATGTTAGTTATCAATTAATCTTGAAGCAGATCATTGTTACCTCTGCCTTCAAATATAGTTCAGCCCTCAATAGTTTATTCAACCCACCAAATATGCATTGGCTTTGCTCTCACTTTCTCATATCCACCACCCTCCTTACTTCCTTAACCTAACCTCTTATCTCACCAAGATTACAATTAGCTCCTGTAACAAAAATGCACAGGCTCTCCCCAAACCCAGTACATGACAGAATACACTAATTTGAAACTGGCTGCTAAATTCCTACTAAGAATGAGAGAATACTTCATAGGAAGTCCTGCGTCCTATGGACTCAGTACTAAGATGTCATTTCAGGAGCCAGTAGAAATGGGAATGTGGAAAGACCAGGTGGTGCTATAGAATTTTGAGCAAGGCTTTTCCAAGGACGACCCCTCCGGCCGCCATTTCCACATGGAGAGTTGGTGAGTCAAGAGGAATGACAGCTTGAGTCCTTCTCTGTGCAGGGCTTCAGCCGCCAGTCTTCACTCCTATTCAAGATTCTCTCCAGTGTTCGGAATCATCAAATCAACTCGGATTTGGCTCAGCTACTGTTACGACTAGATTATAACAAATATTACACCCAGGCTGGTGGAACTCTGGGCAGGTAGGAAACACTCTTGGGGAACTCAGTGGACCGTGTGTGTGTCTTTTATAAAACGTGCTGTAGAATTCCAAAGCTGGAAGCAGGCTTTAGCCACCATCTAGTCCATATTCCCTCATTTTATAAACAAGGAAACTAAGGCTCAGAGAGATAAAGGGCTATGTCTGATCATCTTTAATAATCTTAATGGGTTATTTTCCAGTGAAACTCATCACCTTAGTAAAATACAGAACTCCAGAGGCTGAGATGGCTTCTAAGTTCTCTCCGCGGTTGCGTGTTGCTGTGTGGGTAGGCTCCGTGGCTTCAGTTCCCAGTTCTGACATTAACTAGCAGTGCAGCACTGCCTGGCAGGCCCCCAGCTTCTGTTTCTGTGAAAGGAGGGGATGGCGCCTTCTAACTCTAAACTTTTTAAATCTAATACTGAGATTCAATAGTTGCCTTCTCTCAGAGGTCTGTCGCATTTTAAAAAGCACATCATTGTTCTCCTTTCTCTGAAACATCCTCAAGCATATTTTTCCTAAGCAATTTTAGCAAAAGAATCAAAGAACCACTGAGTTTCAAGGTGACATTATCTAGATCACAGGTTGCCCTCGCTCATATTTTCTATGAAGAAAACCTTAGGAAAGTATGTTTGATGAGGCTCTTTTTTCCTTTTTTTCTAGTTTTGGGATGTGAAAATTTCTGGTTCACAAACTGAAATAACAAGTCTATCCCACCACCTTCTCACCTTTAACAGAAGATTGAAAACCAACATCTCGTTCTCTAGCCACTCACCGAATGTCTGCAAACTGCTGAGATGGCTCTACCTTTCATCCTAGAAGCGATTACTGAACATTCATGGGCACAAATCCTTCCCTTCGTTCCCACATGGAAGAGTCTGCCCCACCTAAGGGGAGACTGGAACTTGCCCACAAAGGACACGCAGCATCACTTCTCCCTGTGCTGCCCACACAAGATCCATCACACTGAGAACATCTGTCAGATAAGTTCATGTATTGAGCACCTACTACATGCCTAGTTACTGTTCAAGCTGCAAGAGATAGAGCAGTTAAGTGCTATATAGCTGAAAGTTAAATATTTTGTTGTTTGTATAAATAAGAAATTATATTTATAAATAGGTCAATTGCTGGATGTCACCGCTGAGCAAGAAGCGCACCAGGTTAGGCTAGGCTTCCCCTCATACCACAGACTCTTTCCTCCTTTTGAAAATTGAAATTGAGAATGTCCCATCCTTAAGGTTCTTCAAAACTGTGACTATGAAGAATTTTACCAGTAACTTCCAATTATTTCAGACCGGTAAAAGGGCAATTCTAGCTATCAACAATGTAGTTAAAGTATTTTTTTAACAAAGAAGCAAGCTCCCTTAAAAAAATTGAGGTCAAATTGTTCCATTTCAAATACTGAAAACTGCAGGTCTAATTTTCCCATTTCAGGAGAACCTGAGGTTCTCTAAAATCTAGCCCAACCATTGCTGGTAATCACTAATGTTCTTATCAGTGTAAATGAACATAAATATTCATTGAATAATTTCCTTTAAACTAAAAAAAATGCAGTATTATGTCTTCAGTTTGTAGCCACTCAGTCTGGTCCTCATCGATTCACCTTCCACCACGTACTCTATATCCTTATTCCCTGCAATTATCAGCTAAAGAGGACCCCTTCCACTGCTGCCCCTGAAGCAGGGGTTAGCAAACCGTCACCTGTCCCCCATGTTTGTAGAGGTTTCCTGGAACACAGCCACTCTCGTTCATTTATTTACCTGTTGTCTGTGGTTGCTTTCATGCCATCATGGTAAAGATGAGTAGTTGTGACACAGTCAGTGGCCCACAGAGCCTAAAATATTTACTATTTGACAGAAAAAAATTTCTGACCTCTGCTTTAGAAAATGAGAGGACAGCAACAGGGATGATGGTATGCAAAGGGAAGGAGTAACTACCAGCATCTGTGACACTAGAAATACAATTCTGTACCTGTGACTATAGCTTCTAACATTTCCAAGTTATCACTGGGTTTCTGATGTTTATCCTTGGAGAGTATCATCCCTTCAAGTTTACAGTCACCACCCATTCACAGAATTGGTCCATTTGCCTTTTAGCTCTGAGAGCACAGTACCCACAGGTCAGTTTAGTGAGCTCAACCCTATGAAGGGAGATTTATTTTTTAATTGCCAGGAAACAGAGCTGTGCTGAATTTCACTCAGCTTTTGGCACAATTATTAATCTGGGCCTACAGTAAAATCAGGGTTTTAGAAGTATTTTAGACAGCCCACAATAACCTTTTGACAATGATGCCACAAAAAACTTTAAGAAGTCACTCCTTGTTATTTTCCTAGACTAGCTGTCCTCCTACAGTGAACCAGGGTATTGAAAACCACAGAGAAGGTACTGTTTGTCTTACTACTTGTGCTAAGATTAAGCTCAAAGAAGTGGATGAAGAAATCCCAGTTACTACAACCAAAGAGATTCAACATTTATTTTATCATAAAAGTCCAGCAAATAAAACTATATACAAGATCCATGCAAAGAATCCAGTTACACACAAGACACAGTTAAAACCTTGTTAAAACACAGTCTCCACAACAACAAGGAATAAAACTGGTAAGACCAAGTATCCTTAGTGAGAAATATAATCATGTTTATATTTTGGATGCTGCTTGAATCCAATTCTCTCCCCAACAATGAGGCACTGGATCACCCACTCTTGTGATACCACAGGCAGCTGCAATGCTTCAGCGCACTTCAGCACCGAGGCTGGGCATGAGGGGTCCGTCACCACCACGTCAAATATCCCTAAAGCAATATCTGCAGGAAGCAGGGGAAGGTGAACAAGGAAAGGAGACTCAATTTAGCCTTCCATTAAAAAGCCTGATGTGCCTAGCCAGTATATCCCGCTCTACCCAAACTAAAACACTTTATGTCAAACACAGTGTGCAACTGATCACAACCAAATGTGAAAAGTTATCATCGCTAAATGCTGACCTTATAAAATATTTAGCAAATACACTGCTGGATGCCAAGAGAAGCATAAACAGCCCAGTGTTTCACTCATGTTGGCTCACCTCTTGAAGTAGTACTTTTCTTCTCCTAGGTTAAACTTATCCGTGTTCCCATCGTCAGGACTGAGACTTAAACCACAAGGCCTAACAACTATGGGTCTAAGGACATCCTTACAGCAATAACAACAAACACTCTTGAGGTACCTTTGTTATGGGCACTTGAATGGTGCTGCTTCACAGAGGCTGCCCCTCCAGTCATGAGGATCTCAGACCAGAGCTCCAAGAAGTTCTGCTGTTGGTCTGATACCAAGAGTACCTTCAGGTTCTGGAAAGGGTTTTCACGGGGTTGCCTATGAAGGAGTCAGAGACACAGCAGCTTGGAATTAGAAGGACCTTAACATGATAGACAATATCCAGTAGTAGCTCTTGTACAAAGGGACTAAGATACATATGGATGCTTTAAAAACCCCTGCATTTGGGCACCACCACCCGTTTCCTCTTTCTTAGAATGATATGTATTCTCTGGGATCATGGCCTTCTAATCCACCCCTTCTGAATTCCTTGTTTGCCCTGGGGCGGAAAATAAACCAAATCATGCCCCTGAGGCTACATTTTTAAAATGCCTTGCTTAAAACTTAGTCCCCTAACCTTACAGGTTGAGAATATTGAACATAGATGAAAATACTCACCTAACCAGTGTACCCTAGTGAAGCAAACTAGGTGAACTACTACTAATCTCAAACCTACTCAAATTCTGTAATTTATCATGTGATCATTCCAGTTTCTAGAAATAGTTACTCTCTAGATTCTTCCTCTACAAAGGCTTGCTGTCTTCCCTTCTATCATTCTAGATGGGCTCTTAAAGGCTCACCAATCCAGAATTCTTTGCTCCTCAAGGCTGTAACCGGCTGGCAGCAGGTAATTGCGGTAATTCTGGAGCTGGTTGGCATGGCAACTGTCATGGACCCAGACATGAGACACACAAGGAATCCCACTGGCAAGGCACAGGAAGTACTTCCGGGTTCGACAATGCTGATCCGCAATTAGGAGACACTGGTAAGCTGTGTTACACTGGAAGAAAAGGAGCAGAACTGATGGGTCTGGTGATGTCTATGGAAAGTCCCTGAATAGCCAGAGTCATCAAGAACGGATTTGAACACTTCCAAATACAGCTGACCCTTGAACAACATGGGTTTGAACAGCACAGGTCTACATTACGGATTTTTTCAATTGATCCAATAGTTCAAACACATTTTCAAGGATCAGCTCTACTGCTGGGAATCCATTATGGGGAGGGCTGACTGGTTATATGTGGAGCTTTGACTGTGTGAGAGGTCAGCCCGTTGTAACCCCCATGTTGTGTAAGGGTTAACTGTACTATCGAAAAAGTGATTGAGCCTGTCCTGACCAAGGTCTCTTTTCTCACTGAAAGACCCAATGGCTTCCCTACATCTCTCCTTGCCTCACCTGCAGCTTTCTGGGGGCCTAAAACCTCAAGGGAAGATCAAATTCCATGTATCCAGCATTTAAGGCAAAGAATCAGAAACACTGTAACAGGGATTTCTATTAAATACAAGTTTTAATCTGCTTTGTCCCAGCAAAAGAACTAAAGTCATTAACTAACCCAAGGTTCTAACTTCTCTTCCTTGTACATAGTAACAGTTCTTTTTCATGCAACAACCTTTTGGCAGTTTCCCACTTCCTGAAATCTCTAGCTACTATCCTCTCAGGCCTCTTCTCAATATAGCTCGTGGACTCTTCATTACTGTCCCTCTGGGAAGCTACAAAGAAACTCCTCACCTGAGCTTCATTGAAGTCTTCGAGAATATAGCCAGCTCCTGCTCGAAGCTGGGATTCTGTGTACTGCTTGTTGAAAGGAGGAATTTCTAAAAATTCTATTAAAAAAAAAACATAACCAAGATAACAATTACTACAGTTGCTTTATTATCTGCTACTTTCTACTCCCCAGCTACCCCCAGAGCACAATATCCCAAAGAGAGCTCAAGGGCTTCCCGATGGGTCAGAAAGAGATCTGTCTTGAGGCCTATAAAGTGCTGCCAAAAGAAGGGACAACAACAAGAGGGGTAGGGTGAGAAAAGGAGGTAGGCCCTAGACCTAAAAACATCAGACATTTCTACACTAAGACTGAGTCATGAAACTATTCATAGGGGATGGACACAACCACTTCCCCTGGTGATATATTCCAGTTTGAGTCACCCTTACCATCAAGTTCTTCCTCAGGCCCACACTAAATCTCTCCTGCAAACTATGCCCATTTCCTCTAATTCTGCCTTCTGTGGAGATGAAAAATAGCTATTACCACTTTCTATAATAGAGTCTTCAAATTCTTCCTTTATCAACATTTTTACCCCCTATACACTAAAACTCTAATAAAACAAAACACTCAAAGAAAGTAGGGTTTTTCAAATTTAATGGATTACGTGATAATGTGCTAGAAAATCCTGTTTCAACCTTTTTATTGAAAACTACCTTTGATGATCTTGAAGTCCCTCAGGACACAACATCAATGACTGCTCTACAGTCTTGAGGATGAAGTAGAAGTTATGAGATGAAGCTGAAGATGTAATGACCCTAGGCAATTAGAAATTGCTTCTTTTAACCAAATATCTAATTTGAACTTGTTGTCTTGTAATCTGCTTCTCTCATATATAAGTAACATTTAAAAAAAGAAAGAAAAAAAGACATTAGATTTTTAGTTAATTAGGGGTTTTGGGAAATTAAGTGCTAATGAACTTACCACAAATAAAAAACCCAACAGAATGCATAAAATTTCAATACCAGGACCTCTCCGCTTCCCCATCACAGCCAGTAGTGAACCCTGGTAGAGCAGACCCCTTGCCAAGATGGCTCCCCCTTTGGTGGCCTCTCCGCTGCCTGCTGGAGCAGCCCAGGCATTGCTGATGGCTTGGGCCTCCACACCTCTGGGTAGGTCTCACTGGCCCGCCTATTCACTTCGATTGCTCTCTTCTTGATTTGGCATTCTCCGTATTTTTTCTTAAAATGAAAGCAAACTGGAAACTCTAAATGATTCTGAGAAACGCAGAAAATAGGACTATTTCTCAGTTTTGTTACTGAACCTTTTGACCCATCTCAATATGTCCTGTCACAATTTTCAGTGCCTGCAATCCACTGCAGAGTCTCTGCCAAAGTCCTTTATTTTTCTCGACTTCTGTTTTATGTCTGCTTAATCCAGGACTGTTTCTAGTCTTGATCTACCTAGATTTTAATGGCCACTTATAGATCCTTGCATTTGTGTAATCAAATATTACCTAGGTCTAGGCAGTCCATTTCTCTAATTTTTCTCAGTTTGGATTTAATTTAAATTACTTTTGACTTAAAAGTGATCCTGCCCAACCAGAGGCTAAAATGAAGCATGTTTTCAATCCCATCATTTAAATCAAGGATAAAGGTACTAAATAAACCCAACTCCAGAGTCACTATCTATGTGGCTGATAGGTCCCTGACAGTGTGCCACCTAATGAGACTGGGTGCAGTATTCTTAACTCATTAATAAAAATGTCTCAAGTTAAATTCAAATGTTTTACTAATCCCCTGGCATTGAAGGAATTCCCATTTATCTGCAAAACATCCCACCCAGTTTCTTGAAAACTAATTCTGTAGGACTATTTTAGTACAAACATCTTCAGGTTTCTTGAGACTGAGGAACCTCTAAACATTCTCATGCCAAAAATATCAAGGATTTCGGTGCTGTTGGGGTAATGTTCAAGGATGAAAGAGCAACATAAAACAGGTATCTTCACCATAACCACACTTTCCACAAGAAACCTGGAGATCCCTCTAGCAAACTGCCCAAATTCCTTCCCATTTAGACAAGGCCTACCTCCCCTTACTCATGGTTATAGGATGAGATTAAAAACACTTGCTGTATCAGCAAGGGAGAATGGAAGGAATTTTTGAATGAAGTTTTTAAGAGTTCACACAAGCTCACAGATATTTAAGGAATTGGGCAGTCTGCAATTCATACCAGAGCTGGTTTTCTTGACTGTGATATACCAGCCAACAAATAAAACATTTACAAAGCTGCCTTGTGAAGTCCTGGTCTAGGGAAGGGTTGGAATGTGTTGGAGAACAAAGACTAGAGTCCAGTAACGTGAAAGCAAAATACAGCAAGACCGCCAACACTTTTGAGGCCATGACACACCTCTTCCTAGAATCCTCAAGGGACTCCCAGTTACTTATGATCAAAGTAAAACTACATTCTTGGCTATGAAATTCCTCATGCACCTTATGTCCCAAAGCAGCTACCTGAATTCTGTCTGACAAACGAGGCTTGGTGTACAGTTAACCTTAAAACTCTCACACATGCCACATCCCAGAACCTCTGTACTGACGACTCTGTTTAAGCACCTTCCAAGAGTATAATCCTTGATGGCCACTCCCTGACCACCCTTCCCATACCCCTGTACAGATCCCCACATGGCAGTAGTTGCTAAGAGATGCTTTGGGTTAATTAAGAAAGAGTCAACCACATACCTGAAA